ACTTTTTCTAAACAAAATATTTCAGGAAACAGAGGCGCTTATATATGATAGAACAGTAAAAGCAGGAGTGATAAGGAAAGATACATGTAGAATAAGATGTGTCTTCATGTCTGAAACACTAAAGAAATAGAAATATTGTGGTTTTATAAACTTTAAAAGAAATTGGAAATATCAGGAGACTGCCTGCCCTTTGCAATGTTGGATAATGAGTTCTTAGATATGATGTCGAAAGCCTCATGAATATAGTACCATGACTTTATCTAATTAGAAAAAGAAATGACATTGAGGAGAAAACCTCGTCACCCAGTCTTTCACCAAGAACTAGAGATAACTTTCCAATATTTGAAATATCATAATATGTATAGAACTTTATTGAGCCACCAGTTTTTCACCAGGAAAATAAGATCACTTAACTATTTTTAGCTCACCTGTCACAAAGTGACAGGTGAGCTTTTTTTTGATCGCTTTCGTCTGGCATCCACTTTAAATGACATCTCCTCATAAACACTAGCCAATTTCATCCAAACTTCACAGGAATGTTTCTTTGGTGGTCACCTCTAAATATTGTTCATAGAACGCTGGTTGCCATGGCAACCAAAAGAAAAAAACTTAAAGTATCTTCTTTTTAAAGAACCTAAAGATCTAGAGCTTAGACAAAGTATCTTCTTTTAAAGGTATGAAACATCTTCTAGTGAGTGTCTACCAAGTTTGTTCAAATAAAAGCCCTGGGGGTCAAAATTGGCCCGCCCCAGGGGGTCATTGAATTCCCCTATATGCATATAGTAAAAACTTAAAAATCTCTTTTAAAGAACCAAAATAGCTAGAGTTTAGATATCAAGCATGAAACATCTTCTTGTAAGTGTCTACAAAGTTTGTTCAAAAAAAAGCCCTGGGTCAAAATTGGCCCCTCCCCGGGGGTCATTGATTTTCCTTATATGTGTATAGCAAAAACTTAAAAACCTTCTTTGAAAAAACCTAAATAGCTAGAGTTTAGATATTAAGCATGAAACATCTTCTGGTAAGTGTGTACAAGGCCCCACCCCAGGGGTTTCATTGTTTTTAACTATTTGTGTATATTAAAAACTTAAAAAATCTTCTTTTAAAAACCCAATGAGCTAGAGCCTAGATGTTTAGCATGAAACATCTTATGGTGTCGACCAAGTTTGTTCAAATTTAAGCCCTTGTATAAAAATTGGCCATGCCGGGGTGGGGGGTGGTGCAGAGGTCTTTGTTTTACATTATATGTGTGTAGTAAAAACTTAACATCATGAAACATCTTCTAACGGGTGTCTTACAAGTTTGGTCAAATAAAAGCCCTGGGTTTTAAACTGGCCCGCTCAAGGGGCCTATTATACACATGGCCCTCTTGTTCAACAATCTTGTTGAAATATGTATGAACAAATCTTTATCAACTTCAAGCTTTTATTGAAGGAATTTGAAATAACTTGGAGAAATGATTGTATAATAAGACAATGAGTCATGTCAACAACCAGACCCCTACCTCCAGGGTCAAGGTCGCACTTGCTCATTCAAGGTCAACTTGTCTTTTTGAGATTATATCTCGTGTCTGGTCTTCCCTATCTCTAAAGGGATTTGTAAATTCTTGCCACAATTGCTCACAATAATGAGAAGATGTGTCATGCTCAACAACAGGTCACCTGCCTCCAAGGTCAAGGTCACACTTGGAGGTCAAATATTAGCATAGCTGTTACAGGGTATATTTCGTGTCCGGTCCATAACTTTTGTCATTTATTGAAGGAATTTGAAATAACTTGGCACAAATGTTTTTATAATAAGACGATGATGTGCAACAACCAGACCTTACCTTCAGGGTCAGGTCACACTTGCTCATTCAAGGTCAACATTGTCCATTTGAGGGTAATATCTCGTGTCCAGTCTATACCTTTCTTATCTTTGAAAGGATTTTGTAAATACTTGCCGCAATTGTTCACAACAATGAGATGATGTGTTATGCGCAACAATCGGTCACCAACCTAGAAGGTCAAGGTCACACTTGGAGTCTAAGATTAAATAGCCTGTTATAGGGTATTTTTTTTGTCCGGTCCATAACTTTTTTGTATATCAAAGGATTTTGAAAACACTTGGCACAAATATTCACTATAATAAGACAATGTGTCAAGCGCAACACCTGCACCCCCTGCCTCCAAGGTCAAGGTCACACTTACATGTATAAAGGTAACAAAGTCTGTTATATGGTATATTTTATGCCCCGTCCATAACTTCTTCATAGATGAAGGGATTTGGAAAATACTTGGCACAAATAGTCACAATGATAAGATGATATGTCATGCACAACACCTGCACCCCTACCTCCAAGGTCAAGGTCACACTAAGAGGTCAAAGCAGGGATTTTTTCCAGGATTTTGGGAACATAACCCATACCCATGCAACTGAGAATTTCAGCGATATTTTGTTAAAATTGGGAAAAAAATGTATGACTGAAAGTTTGCAGTGATTAAATGTATGCAAGCAATCACTGCCTAGGATGGCTTCTTCAAACATTTAAACACTATTACAGTAAAGAAGCCCTTATTTTCAAAATTTTAGAATTCTTTATTCAATATTTATATTTTTGTAACTTTCAATTGGGAATATTTTCCTTTGGATTGGGAAAATAATATACTATTTTCAATTGGGAATATGTCCCAATAACGGCTATAAAATAAGCCAAAAAATCCCTGCAAAGCATAACATGATATATTTTTGAAATTCAGTATTTCATTTGATTTCTTTAATAAATTTATTGTTGCATTTGCAGATCCAGCATTGATCATAATTTTGGACTGAAAATCGTTAGATCCTGCCTCAATCTTTTGAAATAGCACAATTTTTTGCTTCATATAAAACTTCCCTGAGGCGGGGACGTTGGTATCTCTGTTACAGATTCTTGTTTATTTTACCAACAAGTGTTCACTTTCAAACTTTTGATCATTGTATTTTTTGTACTACCTTTTGTATAATGTTGTATTTTATTTATGTTCTTATTCTAAGATTAGCATGGCCAACTCATGAAAGTCCAAATGATGGTCAACTTTTTTTATGTTTTTTTTTTTTTTTTTTGTTTTTTTTTTAACATTATTTACTTTATTTTTACAGTGTTCCTCTGAATCATACATTCTGTTTTAGTTAAACATGCACTTCTTGTACTTATTTTTCCCATACTTCATATTACATTGATCACGGTTTGATGTGATGGCTCATAAAATTGTAACAATATCATTCTTTGTACTTTACCTAGTAATTTATGAAAACAGAAATGCTCTTGTAAGCTAACCAATAAGATTTGTACACCTTTTAAGGATTCAATTTATAACTGGTTATATTCAACAATGTATCAAAACACAGGTCAAGTATGATGTCAGTTACATTCCACAAAATTTATACAACATTATGCATTCCTTACCAAATCATATGCAAAAAAATGATTTATAACTGATAATATTTGAATGCTTTTGAAATCTATAAAGATTTTTCATATAACTCTGGACAAATTTAACAGTCTTCAGTGAGTTGGAGTGTAGTAAGAAAAATCAGGTGTCTGTTGCAAAGATCAAGGTCACTACTTTGGATCAAAAGTCAAATAATAAACTTAAAACATGAGAGTATATTTCTATATACATGGCTGGATTTTCATAACATTTATCACAAATGCTCACTTATGTATACATCTTTTCTCCCCAATCTGAAGCTTTAAGGTTCAGTTCTGAATAATGGCAACAGGCTTGATATATGCTGCCCAGTGGGCTTGTCTAATTATGTACATATTTTGATTACCCACTCAATATAAGCATTGTACTTAACGCAGGCATTCAAGTCCTATGGGCACATTTCTACTTTTGACTATATTTTGTTGTATAATGTCAGTCTTGTACATTGTAAAAAATCCTTAAAACAGCACCTCCTATATTTACTGGCCGTTTGCATTAAAGCTTCTTTCTTTCAGATTGTTATAAATTGTATCACCTCAATATGTACCAATAATTTAAAGGGACTCACTCCATTGAGGTTTAAAAGCCTAAAACATAACATTTGAATTTCTACAGAAATGAGCCGGGGCACTTGATACAGAAATATATGCACAGATAGTGAAGAAATATACTTTGAAATGAATTGAAAATCAATTTTTTTTTATGCTTTTCTCAGCCTGATCTGCGTGATATGTGTTTAAACGCTTTCATTTTGGGTAATTTTTTTACAATTTTGAATAATTATTCTTGAAAAACGAAGTGCACAAATGATCTGAAATTTTTCTCAAAGATTAGTGGTCAAAACATACATCAAGTGGTACATTAATCTAGAAAAATAAATTTCATTCTCATCATGTCAAAAAACCTCAGTGGAGTTCCTTTTTACACATTTTATCTGACAAACTAAATTTCATTATCTCCATATATTTAATCATTTATTTTTTATATAACATATATTTTTACTTTTATGCAAGTTTTGACAATAAAAGTTTATTTTTAAATCATTGTTCTTTGTTTTGCTATGACTTTAACAGCAAAGTAATCAATTTTTACTAAAAAAAAATTATTATGTTAACTTTCAAAAGAAGCACATGATGGCTTTTCTTTCCTTAGTTTTTAAAAAAAAAAAGTTCTTTTAAAAATTTAAAAAATTTCTTATGGCATGTCTTAAATTCATGAAGTAGTTATAAGTCTGGCCCTTTAGGTCAAATGAGTGGTTCTTTTTGTGCATAAATTAAACAGTAGTATTTTTTCATTAATTCACTAAATTTTATAATAACAGAATTTCTATTTTCAAATGATTTTGAGTGTCACAAATTAGGTTTGGGGCCCCGGGGAACTATTATCACCCCTGAAAATGGTAGTGCAAAAAAGGAAACAAAGAGTCAATTTTCGTCATCAAATCAAGCTAGCTGTAGATTTGAAAATTTGCAATATTCCTTTGTTTTAAATTCACCGCATTAGGTATTTCTATGAAAATTTCCTTCCAACAGTACTTTCAGTGCTTTGATTTTAGTATTATAATCAAAGAAGTATTTGTTCCTAAAAACAACTACATGTATAAACAATAAATTGAACTCGTACAAACTCTTTGTATTATTTACTTCTTTTAAAATGTTTGAAACTTTTTATTTCTTCTTTACATTATTTTATCAACTAAGTTCTATATCCAAAGAAGGAGATATAACCTGCTGTTGATGTATAAAACATGGACTTTAAAATTTTTGCCCCAAAACAACTTGTTTTAACTTAATAGTTCATATGAAATAGTCTCTGTTTAAAGAGAAACACGAAAGAACATATTTATATAGCAGTAAAATCCTGATTATAAAATCAATCCCTTATACAAGTAATAATTAACTTTAAGACACTTATGTCATACCATATTAGATAAGTTTTTTTGGGAAAAAACAAAATCGAGTTAAAAATTACAGGTCAGTTTATCATAGTTTAAATTACACCACTGGATGTCAAAAAGTCTACATGTTAAATACAGTATATAAATAAAATATGCCTTTTATAGTCTGTCAGAGGTTAAATGACTGAAACAAGAAGTTTCTATGTATCCACTATAATGTATTCATGACTCAAAAAGTAGAAAAGTGATGCTTTATCACAAACAATTTTCCTTCACAGACTTTGTTATACAGTTACAAATTAAATGCTTAATGTTACATTAACCACTTTTCAGAAAATTTATTTCATGTCCGTAAACTAGCCATGCTGTTGTATACAATATATATATCTATAGCATCTGTTCAAGACAGCCTTCAGGATGTGGCAGTGGCATAAACTCTAGAATAATTTGTTGACTGAGATTCATTCTTGTTCTTTAACTTCTTAGACCATTTAGGAGGTGAACTTCTTGTCTGAAAAACAAAAGCAAACATTCACAACTTGAGTCTTGGTTCTAATTCTTAATGTATCATAAAACAATTTACATTGTCAAGAATTCACAATCTATTGACATTGATTTAATATAGAATATTCCTATAAGTACAAATCAGTGTAAGAAAACGTCTTGGTTTGGTTTAAAGACACATTCTGAAAGCATGTTATTTTTCTGAGAGAATGTTATAAATTTTTTGAACAAGTTGGCACATCTTTACCTTCTTTAGCAGATATCATAAATGAAAAAAAAACTGGAGAGCAGAACTTTAAACCAACAAAGGTGAATAGTAGGTGGTATAAAGTTGTCTTCCATTGCCATTTATCAATAAGACGGCAAAAAATCAACTTTACTTTAGGCAAATATTAATATGGCCAGATATTACTCTCAAAGTTATCAACTTTATTAAATTTCTTATCAGAATAATCCATCACTAATATAGTATTAATGTTGTCAACTTATTATACCAATGATATAGATCCTGGCTTGGACACATTAGGTTCATCGTAGGTTTCAAATGATCCATGTGGTATATGTATAGATGCACTCTTTGGTTTGGCATGGTCTCGCATGCTCGTTTTCTTTTCACCATGGCGACGTGTAGAAAGATTGAGTACAACCTGCTTCATCACCGACATCTCCTGATATAAGAAAATAATTCACATTTCATTAATATTATTATAGATGTTGAAATATGAAATTTTTTCAAAACGGCTTATATTAAGTTTTTTTGATATATATGATCAGTACACGTGCTGGGATTGACAAATATGCATTTTATTTGGATTTTAAAGGCGTTTTGAGCTCCAAACCCCAAATGTCTGTGAACATATGATATAAAGTTCAAACTTCACATAGGATATCACATTTGAACTAATATATGCTATTCAGGTTGAACTTGTTTCTTTATTGGATTTTAAAATCACAATGACACTATCAAGGTACATTTCAACGTGTTTCCTCGTTATATAGTATTCATCTTTAGACTGGTATTACTAAAAAGTAGGACTACCAACCAGCAGGAGTGCTACAATTCAGTACTTTTATCCTATTATGTAAGAAGTCTTTAAAGCACATCAAAAGAGGCTTTATATTGAAGACTGTAGCATAGATCATGTTACAAAACATATTGTCTCCACCATGAATGGAAATATATTTGAAATATTAAAACATTGAAACATTCTTTAAATAAAGCAAACGATTAAAATGATTAAAACCATTAAATTAATAGCACTTTTAGCTAAAACAAAATTATCTTTCATCTGAAAACATGCTAAAAATTTTACCTCTCGTTGATTAAGAAGTCTCTCCAGGTCAAGTGCCATCTGATTTTTTGTTTTGGAAATCTCGGCTTTCTCTTTTTCTAATCGTCTGTAAAACAATTATCAAATATATATACAGTCTAAATAGTAAAACTGCTAGATCAAAATAGAACTGACAATGCCCAGACTAACAGGGTATTGTGAACTTTCATTTTGATAAATCATAATGAGAAACTCCAAAATAATGCAAAAGACAGCTATAGTTCTTGAACACTACACTTTTCTTAGTTCATACTAATTTATTTCATTTTGATTGTGTATAAAGCTTTAAGCTTATTAAAACACTCTTGAATCAGTTTCTGGAACTAAACAGTACTGATTGTCAAGTTTGTTGCTCATGGAAACCACAGCTTGCCCCAGAGGGGGTTGGCACCCACACAGTAAGCAATCCTTAGATTACTAGTCCGACATGTAAACCACTCGGCCACGCCACCACTTTTCTTCAATGAGATCTATCATTTTAGTATGAATAGAACATGCTCAATTATAAGTTAAAAAAAAAATATTTCCTTATACATAAAGAGGTACACATGAAAATACTACTTTACTAGCATAAAACATCCAGTCAAGTCTAGTTAAACAGTGTTATAAACAATATTACAATACGACAAACAAATACAAAGTCAGATAAATCATCCAATAACAGATACTTCAATTTCAAAAGAATTGCTATATATTAGTATATTCACATGTAGATAAAAAACTTACTGTGTTTCCTCCTCTAGGGAAGCGATATATTCTCTCTGTTTAGATATTTGTGAATCTCGTGTTCTCATACTTTCTATCAGGTAGTTATATGGCTGCTGGGCTTGGTCTAATAGGTTATTGGCACTCTTTACCTGTATAGTTTATGTCATATATATATCTATCTATGATTTAATATCATATATAAACATATGAAAAGTTCATTGCATTTATTATTGTATTATTGAGTGAGCTAAGAAATAAGTTTTTAAAAGAGACATAAATACTACAAACCGAGAAGTACAATGGGATCTCATAGATTGTAAACATCTTTATTTAACTGGCAAATTGAACTTGAATATTTTAATTTGTTTTTAAACTCTGGTATGAGGTGAAAATATCTGACATTATAATTTAATTTTATCTCAGGTCATTAACTCTGCTTGGTTCACAGATATAAGTTAAAATCACTGTATGTCTTATAAAAAGCCATTAAATATTTCTCACGATCTAGAAGAATCATCTAGTTTTAAATTATTAAATAATTCATTGCAAACAAGTAATTTTACCTCCTCTGCTAATTGAAGAACTTTCTTCTTTTCTCTTTCTATATCTTGTTTACACAGTGTGTTAATTTTCTCTAATTGAAGGACTCTTCTTGCTAGATGTACACTAGAAAATGAACACAAATCAATTTCTATGTATGTCATGGATTTGAGGTTACAATTTCTACATACATGTGTATGTTTCAATTTATTATATTTTTTTTTGTTTAGTTGTAAAGCCTGAACAAAATGGTCAACATCATGCAGTAATTTTTTCTGTTTATAAAAGTACCTTTCTGCAAGTTTTCAGACTTAATAAAGCTAGCACCCATATAGAAACACAAGCTAGCTGCTTACCCACTGTCTCTATGGGTTGTTAGTTTTATTCCCATAGTTGTAATACAAATTAAGAATGTGGAAGGCCATAATCAATGTCATAGAGATAAATTAAACATGATTTAAGATGCTGTCATAGTAACCTAGAGTGTGAAATAGATGGAATGAGGAATTAAATTTAAAGTTTATCTTATTTCAGAGTTTGAAACAGAGATCTATGTTCTCCAGAAAGAACAAAGCATCTAATCTGTTAAACTACCTACCTTTGTTGAAGTCGTCTCTTTGCTGTACTGGGAACATTAGCACCATATCCATAGGAAAACAAAACCTTCTCTGCTTCTTCTTCATTATCAACTAAAACAGAAACAAGAAACTTTGTTTGCCTATAATGTTTGCTTATTCAGCGAAAGTTGAGAAAACCGGACAGCTTTCAGACAAAGGGATTTGTCCGGTTTTCTCAATATTCAGGATAATATACACCGAGCAATGACTTACCACAGATGCCTGTATATTTGCATTTTCACGATCATATGTACATATATTGCTAAATAAAGAAATTATGAAATACAAAATAACATGTTTTATTTATTTTTGTAATATGATAGAAGGTGACCCTTTTTCAAAGAATAAATTTCAAAATAAAGTTCTGCAAGTCCTTGTTCTTCCATTTTCTTTTTCTTTACTATCATTACAAGTTCTTGAACCATTCTTTTTTATCTCTAACATTACACTTCACATCTACTCAATTAACTACTACTCATTACCTAAACCTTATATCTGTAAACAGCTTTAGGCACTGAAATTTTGTTTTATTTATTCAATTAAAGATATAAATATAATACACTTAACAGTGATAACTGCTCATTAAAATCAGTAGAAGAATAATTACAGACTGACAGCGCACAAGTATAATTTTACCTTCAGCCGCCTGCATGACTACATCATCAAGCTCTTGTTCTAATTTCTCGTATGTTTTAAGTCTCCCATCTTTCTCTTGTAATGCTGACTCCAACTCGGCAATTCTCTTCTCTAACCCCGTCTGTTGACTGTAGTATTCTTTTGTTAACACCTGTAATAGAATCAATTACATAAATTACAAGTCATCACTATCTAATGCAGCTGTAATTCAATTAAACATTTCAATAAACCTGCTCCTTTTTTTTAATCTACATTCCTAGAAACTAACTGTACTTCTATTTTCCAATAAACTATAAAGATATTTCATTAACACTGCCATTTTTTGTGGGTCAAGGAAGTCCCATTCTGCTTCTTCATATGCACATACAACATAGAGAAGGAAACCGTGATGTTTTGGTAAACAAATGATCACACAAAACTACAGACATTAAGCTTACTTTTAGTAATATTATTCACAAATTTGTCGATAAATAGTCAATAAATAGTTAAATAAATAAGTTTAAATGAAGTATTAATACAGTACTATTTCAAGTTCTTCATTATCTATAAAATTTGTTCAGCTAAAGGGTTTCAACAAATAATCTATTTATCTATCTAATATATTGCCACACTTGTATACCTCAGCTTTTTTAGTTAATTTCTCCACTTCAAGTTGAGTTTCTTTGAAATTTTTCACTGTTTCCTCCTGTAACAGTTGTGTTCTCTCCAACTCAAATGTCTTCAGTTTAAGTTCATTAGCTGTATCAGATACTCTACTGTCTCCACTGAGCTGTAACTGCCGTAACCTGAAATATTACATTACATCACTTGTGTGTAAATATCTGTAACTGTCGTAACCTGAAATATTACATTACATCACTTGTGTGTAAATATCTGTAACTGTCGTAACCTGAAATATTACATTACATCACTTGTGTGTAAATATCTGTAACTGTCGTAACCTGAAATATTACATTACATCACTTGTGTGTAAATATCTGTAACTGTCGTAACCTGAAATATTACATTACATCACTTGTGTGTAAATATCTGTAACTGTTGTAACCTGAAATATTACCGATTATTTCTGCATAGAAATAACTCGAGTTTATTTTGGTAAGAATCCTAGATTCTTTAAAGGATAGTTTATCTTCTCGTCTTTGAATTTTGGGGAATAAATTTTTGTTAAAATTTATTGTGGCGGAAAATTCTGGCAGCCGAGAACCAGTCATGTTTATGTATAAATTTTTCAAAACCGTTTCTCTCGATGGCCTCTATGGTACATCCTTCGGGAAAATCGGTTCGTAAACTATTTACGCTTAAGTCTGTAGTCTGGTATATATTTCATCTATTAGATGGTCTTGTTTCGACAGAATATCCTTCTATAAGCTGGAATTACTAGATTACATTAATTTCAAAATTGGAATTTTTTATATGAGTCCTGGGTTTTGCTCAAAGCTTGCGCTATGCTCGGTATTTCCCAGGTGTCTCTTTGGCATTTTTAAGTAACTGAGTATTTGCTTGAAAGTTGCTCCCATTTATTACCGCATTTACGCATTTGGCACCCTCGCATATTCAATTATGCAGTCTTGGCACGCATATGCCAGAAGTTATCGCATTTACGCATCTTGGCACCCTTGCATAGGGTAATTACGCAATCTTGGCACGCATATGCCGGAAGCAGGCACATCTGTCCTTAAATGCTCAGTAACTTTCGCATGTAAAATTTCGCATTTAACTGGTTTATTCGGTTGCTGGAATTTTCTTTGTTATGCTAGGGACATTTAGTTGTCATATCCTAGCATGACATACTTAGATGCGGCCAAACATTCCAATACATTTTATTTCTAGTCATAAAATTGTTTCTAGTCTCGACTTTGTTCCTTATAATGTTATTTTATGTTTATTATTGTTATTGATTACATTAAATAAGTGGTACATGCTATGCTGGCATCAAGCTCTGAAATAAGCTTGAAATAATTAAATTGATATGTAAAGTTATGAATTGTTTATATTGATTATTCCAACCCATAAATAATACATTACATCACTTGTGTGTAAATATCTTATACATAGTACCTACCAGATGATAGCATGTGTAAATATCTAATACACAGTATCTACCCAGATGATAGCATGTGCATAATCTCAACTTTAAATAGTTCTGAAAGTCTCAAGAAGAAAATATTATCTGAACTACTGTATATCTGAGCATAATTATAACAGGGGCAGCTGTAGTAATTGTTGGATATTGGAAAGACAAACTAAAATGAAAAACTGAGAGAACATAAAATTAATAACTTTGATATTTTAAGAACCAATGAGATCTCATAAAGAGGCATTTTATACTTTGTTTAAGATAATAAGTATGCTTCCTAAAAGACATTCTTTGTTTTGTAAATAACCTTAAATTCTATCCTTCCCTGCTCAGTTTTCTGTAATGCATATTTTCATCATATATTTCGCTTTGTATATGAAATTAGTCAATGTTTGTTTCAGGGATTTATATGTCAAAATATATAAAGAATGACATGACAGAACAATATTGCTCAATCAGAAACTAGAATGTATACATACTCTTGTAAAATCTGTTCATATTTGGTACTTGTTTCTCTCTCAGCTGCCTGGGCTCTCTCCTTCTCTGATATTGCCATGTCTCTAGCCTCCCGTAAATTCCTACAAAACCAAAGTTTTGATATAATTTCATAGTCTATTCTCTTTCAAAATACTTCTCAACTTACCGTAGTTAAGAAAATTTATAAACTGAGGTGCAAGTGGCTTGAAGTCAACCTCAATCACTTGCCAACGAAGGTCACAAGTAATTAACATATAAGTTATCAATGTGCACATTTTAACCTTTAACTTAAAAGTTTTAATTAAAGGTGATATGAACGTCATGATGTACCAATTCAAATTTTATAAAAACAATCTTTAATCAACAAATCAACAGTAAATAAATCAGATTCTAGCTAACCTATTCTCCCTCTCGTACATCTCCTTGCTGCTTGTACGTAACCTATCAATCTCCCCATTTGTTCGTACACGTATCTGCTCTAGTTCTTCTCGAAGCTTGTTTTCATATTCAGACTTATACTGTTCTCTGTGAAAATATATCAGTATCAATCATTAAGTCAATGTTGACCTCAACATAGGAAAACATTTTATTTATAAGGTCATACATAACAAAAGCTTTAATAATAAATTCAGCAAATATTTAAGAAATTTGCTTTAATTTCTCATGTTATTATAATAAAAGTATTACTTAATATGTGAGACATCAACAAAACATAAGGGCAGATTGATTATAACAGGGCTTCCAAAAGTGGAAGTTTGGGAATCATTTACTCCTGACGTTGGCTTGTGACTTCCAAAATAAACCCTTTTCCCTCTTTACCTTTATAATGTGACTGCCAGTGTTAGGTATTTTGCAGTCTCTGACTTCCTAATTTTGGAACTTAATGGAAGCCCTGTTACAAGGTAAGGGTATCAATGTAAGTGCTACCTTGAGGAGACATATTTTTCATACATGTCCTCCCTGGATCGTTTAGCATCATCAAGCTGCATATTAATGTGCTGCATCTTCTCCTCCGCAAACTGATTCCTGTTTGCAATGTCAGCACATTGTCGTGTCAAATATTCCTTATCCTGCTTTAACAGTGACAGTGACTGACGGGCGGCTGATAGCTGGACAGAAAATATAAATTAAAGATTTAATACCATCATTTAAAAGTAAGTATATCAACATTAACTATTAAAGTGATGTATTATACAATTTGATAAGTATTCAATATAACAGCAGTACAGCTCAAGTACAAATGTGTCCGTAAATATATCATTCCTTCTCAAGTGACTGATCAGAAAAGAAATTTACACAGTGTCACTGTGACCTTGACCTTTGACTTCAAAAGCAATAGTGGTCGTCTCATCGCCATGATCAATGTCTTTGATAAGTTTAACTAACTTACACTTATTCCTTCTCACGTTATTGATCAGAGAAAGATTTAACATTTTCACTTGGACCTTGACCTCTGACCCAATTTACACAAAATGCATAGGGGTTATCTACTGGCACCACCAAGTTATATAAATCTCTGCAAATTCATTCTCAAGTTTTTGACTGGACAAGGATAACAGAATGTATGAACAGACAACATGGGAGTATGCTCCCCACAATTTAAATGGGGGTTTATATACTAAATTTATGTACATGTATGTCTCAATTCAAATCAACAAAATAATATTACAATTTATTTGGGAGTAACTTCTATTTATTAAGAATTTAAATTAATGTATTTATTGATCAACAAGAGTAAAACACAATAAATTTAAGCAAAATTCTAAAATAAGAACAAATAATTTGTGTTTGTACTATCATTATTTAGAAAAATAAACAATATCAGGATAAGGCAAAGATAAGTGCAATGACAATTTAATCTTCATTTCATGCAGAAAAATAAAGCTTGCACAGTGTCAACATTTTTGTGTGTGAAAAAATACCTGTAAATGACAAAATCGTGATCATTTAGGGAAATAAAAGTAAAATATAAATCTACATCAATGAATTGCAAGTTTTAAAAAAAACATTTCACTAGTATTCCATTTAAAAAAAAATTTGTCATTTTGAACATTTTTAAGATCTTATAACATTTTTAGATGGAAAAGAAAACATATTATTTTATGCTAACCACATACCATAAACTACCTGGATGATGTTTCTACATTTAAAAATTTGACAGCAATAGCAGAATTCTTAAACTCACAGTGGTAAGGATATGATTCATGTTAGTCATATATAAATCATTTTTAAATCTTCAAAATCAAACTCCCCTTATACTGATATTTGTATGATCAAAATAATTCAGACAGATATTCACAAATGAGGAACAGTAAGGTGAGGTTAACACATCATTTAGGTTTTATCAAAATAAATAAATATCAAATATTTATCAGATTTTGTAACATTCTAGAACTTGTATTTACGTAGAAATTAGCGACTTAATTTTTGGTCCTGATAAGCAAATTTTATCCTAGATCTTATAATAATATTATAATACAATTATAGTGAAGCTAGAAAATGACTGAAATCAAAAAATGATTTGCCATTACAAAAATTAGTGGACATTAACATCTTAACTTATGTCAAAACATAATTCAGGATTTACTTTAATATGATAGCCTCATATTTATAAATTTATGTTTATCTAAGACTACTTGGAAAAATCCCCAACACTTTTTCTTCTCAAATTTAACAAATGATAAACTAAGGACAACTTTGTGAGTTGTTTGGAAAAATAAAATTTTGTGTACAAGATAACATTACAGCAACATTACCTCCCTTTTTATATTTGTACTGATTACATGATGTGTTTCCTAGAACGTATTCAATCAATTAACAAGATACAAATCATTTTAAAACATACAAAATTTCAAATTTCATCTTACCAACAAGAATAAAGTTTTAAAGGAGGTTTCTCATTAATCTCCTGTACCTGCTAGTCAGCATTCTTGGAGAATAACATATTTTCTCAACAAAACAAGTGCCCATGTGACACAAATGTCATATGACATATTTACCTTTAAAGTACAAATAAATCCTTGGTGTTACTCACAACTCACCATCTGGCCCTGGGTAAGACATCTGCCTCATGTTTTGACAAGCCATTTAGGAATAAGAAAGTTATAAGACACACACAGAGAAAAACAGACACACAGATTTCTCATTTGACCTTCAAGTGTGACCTTGAAAATAAGGATGTGGGTCACAGCACATCATCTGACCAGGATACATTGGGTAAACAATACATGTTCATGTAATGGCCCTTAATCCTCTAACTCTGGTGAAGACATCGGTATGTTTTGACAAAACATAAAGATATATAAAATTTATTAGGCAAAGAGAAGAGCAGACACACAAATGATTTGATCCTTGATCTCCAAAAATGACCTTAACATTAATGTGGGGATGTGGATCTTGCACAAGTCACATCTTATAGTGATTATGTGCACAAATCTTTCTTAGAAATCTCATTATGCAGACACAATTTATGAATTCCTTACTGTGACCTTGACCTGGAGGTATTATGGTCACAAAGCATAGTCATTAATACAAACAAACATTAACATACATGCCCTCAGTGTAAACACTATATGCCCTTATCTGATGTTAGGGGCATCAAGTACTGCACAAGCTGAGCAAAGAAATAAAACAATACTTTCTCATTATCTCCAACAACGAATATCAACTCTTTATTACGCATCATAATATCTTACGTGAAAGAAAGAATATTGAACAAAGACTCAGTCACATAATTTTATATACTTGAATGCATTTCAGTATGTTTTGTCACTAAAATGGAGAATGAACTAACATAAACATGTAATCAACTACAAAAAAGACAAATTATACACAAAAAAGTCAAATAACTAACAAAAAGCATTGATTACCTCTCTACTGAGTTCATCCCTTTCTCTGACAACATTCTGATGAGTGGCTTCCAGTGTTGATAACTGTCTATGTACATCCAAACCATCCCTCTCAAAATTATCTCTCTCCCTATAAAATAAAAATCAAATTATTTTATTGGATCATCAAAATAAACCGATTATTGGATTTCATATGATATACACAATGCTGAACATTTTCGCCAAATTATATAACAGTCTCTATTCATGTTACAAAGACAGAGGTTTATTAATAATGCATACAGGAAGTTGTGTTATTATAAGTATATAGTATACCCTTTTACTCTGTCATAATTCTCCACTTTGTAATCATCAACCTTGACCTGATTCTTGGTGTCTGCATATGACAATGTTAGTTTCTGGAACTTCACCCTTAGTTCACCATGAGCTTGCCTTTCCTCCTCAAGTTTCTAAAGAATATATAAATTTATTATATTAGTTACTCAATCATATATAACACAAAACAAATTAGTCTTTGACTTTAATTCATTAAGGGGGAAAATACCTAATATTGAAAAGTTGGATGTTTTGATTATGATTTCAATTATGTACAAAAAGCTTAAGAAACACAATAAACAATATCACAGATTTAAGTGTTTCTGTAAGCCTATAGCTTCCTGATAATGATGATGTCACAAGTGAACTAAAAAAAAATCTGTATGAACTATTACTAAACACAATTTCTTACTTACATTTCTTTAATAATAACTCAATCAACATAAAATGTCTAAAAAAAATTTCATATCATAAAAGTATATAATTAAAGACTGTAAAAAACACAGTATTTTACATAGCCATTTAATTTCTTTGTGTGCGTAGAAATTGGCTTTTAATCAAATTTTCAAGTTTCATTATGACTTATTCAAGTTCAAACTTTTAGTCACTAAAATGTTTACCTCTTGAAGGTCTAATACTTCCTTCCCTTGACTTCTATCAGTATCTTCCAATGTCTTTACTTTCAGACGCAACTGCTCAATTTCTGTTTCTAATGGCTTTGTACGCTCAAATAGACGTACCTGTATAAAAATTACATTTTAAACATACCTAACTATTTTTTCCACAAGAATTATTTCAAAATGCCACCTAACAACTATTATCAAATGTAATAAATTATGCATATACAAGTAAATATATACACATAATAAAGATGATGTGATATATAAATATTACACACAAAACAATTCTTTAAACTACATATTCTAGACTTAATCATGACTTCATTAATTGTATAAATTAAAACTCAATTAACAAAACTTACTGCAACATAATCTCTTAGAGACAAGTCCTCATCACTGGTAGACCGTAACTCATAAAACTTTTCTTCTGTTAAATCTAAATCTCTTAAAGATCTTCTCACATTTCCAGCCCTTTCTTGCAACCTAGAAAACACACAAGCCCTTAACAATAAATATTTCATTTCAACAAATAATTATTTAGTAAAAAAAGTAGGGACTAAGGGAGTTTCTTTTTTTTCCATAAAATAACATTAGAGGAGGCATTCCTCCCTTCACATATAACTAATATGAAATTAGGCAAAGCCTATGAACAGGGAAGTCGTTAAAAAAGTTTCTTTCACTTTTCTGTTCTAAAGGTGTCATTCGTCATTTCATGCACTGCTTCCGTTTTTACTCGGAACAGTGAACACTCGACAGTTATTAATAATCCGAAAAGTTGAGATTTGTTCCGTTATCGAAATACCCAGCCTATTATCATTAAGTTACATTGTAAATGGTGGCGGCCAACTAGAACTGACACTGAAAATTTCATTGATATATAGAATTCTATATATTTTTTAATTGTTTTTTTTTCATTATCTTTTAAATATACATGTGTAGTCTAAAGCCAGGCAAGCCGAAGCTTGTGCTTGCTTTGCAGGCCCGGTCTTTGACTTCCCCATATAAATAAACAAAAGGTTACAATGATAAGGACAATAGGTAACGAAAATGGAAACATTGAGGCATGTATCTCAATCTCGTTTTAAATTGGGAAGATAGATTCAGTTGACATTATTAAACAAAATTACTTAACGAATGTCAAATGACAATCAAATGACACTACGTCTTATAGACTTTCACCTAAAATGTGCACACGAGTTAAAGAACTGGTAGTAATGCATGCCTTTCATTTGTTGCCTCAAGATAACGTTGTTTTTCTCTGACCTCATCAAGCTCAGCTTTGATCAGCTCTTGCCGTCTCCTCGACTCTTCCTGTTGAATAGTGAGCTGAGATTCCAGACGTGCTTGTAAAATTTGTTTTTGATGCCTTTCATCGTTTAACTTTTCTTCTAAATCATCTACCCGCTGCAGTGATTCTGCTTTCATGTTTTCAAGCTGCAGATTTTTCTGCGAAAGTTCGATCCTGACAAGTTGCAAGTCATGAGATAACTGTTTCCTCTCAATGAGTTGTTTTGTGATTTTGGACTTCTTATCTCTACGTTCTTCATAATGCTCAGTTCTGTCAGGTGATAACGTTAAATCTGTTGGAACTGACGTTTCAAACCCACTCAGATCTTCGGATTCAAATTCATCAAAAGTTTTAGAAAGGTCTCTTGCAGCCATTTTGAATATTAGTGACTGTATATTTCAGTTTTTATTTGTCTTAATAAACATTGATCAAAATATGCCATTTGATTTACATTTTCTTCACTACATTCAGCTAAAACATCGTAAAAATGTTTGTTTTCTTTCGAATTTCGTGCTGAAACTTGCTGCCGGTGTAAACGATTCAGTTTACAGTTTGTGAAAATTACAAAATAGAGGGCATTACACCACTATACTGTTTCTATCATTCATGATAAGGTCTTAGGGACATTCTTTACTATGATATTATGTATCATCTTTGTTTTACTCAATTTGAATATAAAAAATAATAAATGAGCTTGTATCAAAATGTAATATTCACTGACTATACTGTGCCTAAATTAGAAAACAATGCATTGAAAGAGGGACATCTTACGGACAATACCGGGACGTGCTGTACTGTATAGTTGTTGAACCCTTGACAAATACAGCATTCATACACATTTTTATTTATATTTTCTATTATGATTATCTCCAATTCACTTATATATCTTTGTTGAATTCTGTACTAGCTATTAGCTAGGATTATTAAACAATCACCATTTGCTTAATATGTCCGAGATACGAATCATGGATGTTACTCTGTACATAAACCACTTAACTATATATATTGTATTGAAATTAAATTCTTATAAACTCACTCTTTTCTGGTGATTTAACGTTAAGTTGAATTATACTTTCATTTTATCATGCAAATCCAAGAAACTCTTTGCACAAGAATTTAACTACATTTTTTGTAATTTGAAAACGATTATTCGATTTTTTTTATTTTTTTTTTATTTTTTTTGGTAAATAACAACATTTTTGACTGCTTTGAAAACAAACAGCGCTGATAAGACTAAGATTCCATTAAACAACGTGCTTTAGAGAAAAAGTTCAATGTCACTTAGATAAAACTGCCGTGTCAACATTCTGACGTATTAATTGACTCTATTTAATGATATGAATATGATACATTTGTCGTAATTATCTGCCAATTATCTTTAAATGATAAGTGTTTCAATTACTATTGTTATTGCCGATTATTACGGAATACTGTTACGGGCATCAAAAGTTGGCAAGTGCCTATTGCGTATTTATAGATAAGGATAAAATTCTTATCAAATCTAAATTGTTATTTCCTAGATGAATTTTAAGTAGAAACCAAAACGTACATCATCATTATCAACGCTGTCGTCGTCGTCATCGCCATCATCATCACCATCGTCATCATCATCACTACCACCACCACCGTCATCACTATATTATGACATTCGGCATTGCCATCATCTTATCACCTTAGTCTTCCTTTTCTGACTCAACTATCCACAGGATTCTAAAATAATACTTGAAGGAAAAATGCAATCTTCACTTTTTTTAAGAAAGTGGCCCTTAAACGTGACAGCAGGATTTTCCCCTAATTTGTGATTGGATCTGGGCCTGATTTCTTCAAGTTGTGAATAAGTTTGAATATGTTAGCGTATTCTAACGTAACAGTCCTAAAATTTTATGTTCTTCGAATAATTGTTGTAACGCATGTATTAAATTTCTTTTGTGGCAGCAATCAAATTTTAAACTTTTTTTGTGAAAGTGGCATTACTTGTGAAGCTGGCACTTTTGAATTGTTAATGGATCTTTTAGCTAAGTGGGGGCTGGAGCTTTGCATGATTCACGAGATAGAAAGACCTTAAAAATAACGGGTATTGGGTATTTGTAACCCTCAATTTTCTTACTACCTTCAGAGTAAAATGTTGTGTTTTTTTAAATGTGTATTTATTCATGTCATGTCATGGCTCTTATCATACTCCATACAAATATAAAACTTTTCAAGACTGGAGAGCTGCCATTTCTGAAAGGTCTTAAGATAAGTTGCAAGACATGTAGAGATAACTTTTGTATGAAATATCGCAATAGAAAATACCGTACAGTGGATAGGTTAGCTGGAAAATATAGAATTCACTGAGGTATGTTTGTATCTTTTGTAATTATGAAAAATTTATTCAAACGTCGATAGTTTAAAGTGATATTACAGTGATATTTTGTAACTCTGAATTTCGCATGTTGCCAACTTTGTTATGGCTTCTCATTTATTTAATAAACTCGTGCTAAACGGGATAAATTAGTTCAAGTTAGAATTGATTTTTTTCCTCTCGAAAATAAAATTATTGTCAGGGGAGTAACTTATTTAGGCTAGGAAATACCATGGCTTGTGTTGTATTTATAGGTATATCCTCTATGTTAAATGCGAAGTATTTCATCCTAGAACAGAAAATTTATTTGTATTTTATCAAATTAAAAAAAAAACTATGTTAAATTGACATGACACGGTCATAATCTAAAAAAAAATAGTGTCACTGTTGGAGTTTGATACCTTGACAGTCAATTGCATTTGTGTGATTTTTTTTCTCTAATCGGGTATCATTAACTAAACTATATATTATTTTCAGGTTGGTACATGTATACAAAATTATGGTAAAAGTAGATTTCGGGCCGGGTAAGTATATATACCGGAAGACACAGAGTTAGAGGCACCAAGGTATGTTCACAGTCAAAATAAGTAGTTTTCCCGAATTTCAGTTGTAAATTTTCACTCAAATCTGCATTACCATTACAAAATATTGCAAGTAAAATAGTAATGTACGAAAAATACAATTCTTAAATAAAAAAATTCAGTCTTAACTATTTAGTCTACATAACTTATCTTGATTAATCAAAATTTATTTTCAGTGATAGCGGTATTCAGCACAGTAATTTTGATGACTGCAAGAACGCGACGAACGTGAAACAGGACTTGGTCGCGCGTTTTGTTCAAAATGAGTAGGGATATTCGCGAATATTTTTTTTATTTGTCGCGTTTTAACTCATACTAATAGTTTGTATTATTTTTCAGGAAACAAAAGGAGACTTGTTTACCAATATTACAATAATACACGTGTTTAAAATTTCAGATGATCTGGAAAAGAACTTGATCTTTTCTTTGTTTTTCTGTGTTCTCTTGCAAATCTAAAACGTTTTATTTTTTCCCTTTTACAGCGTCTACTGGCTCCCCGACGGTTAGTCCTTTACATCAGCGGTCAGACTTAATATGCCAGCCAAACTCGCTCGTCATTTCCCTGCCAGACACACTGTTTCCAGAGCAACGTAACATTACGTGGAAAGAAGATACTTGCAGAGTTACCTACAACGGGAGCCATTACGTCAGTGATATTTCATTAACTGACTGCGGAACCACTGTTCTTATTGAAAACGATACAGTCATATTTTCAAACGAACTGATTGTACATAAAGTAGCAGACGACAATCATGCCGCTAAAGAAAGGGAAACCAACAGCATAACATTCGGGGAAAACTACGAAACTGTCATTCCAGTGAAATGTATTTATCCAAGATTAAATAACGTGTCTACAAATTACTCTCCTGTTAAACAAAATGTGAGATTTATCGAGAAAAGATATGGAACGCTTGACGTCGCCATGCAACAGTTTGAAGATGAGCGGTTTGAGAAGTCGTTTGGTACAGACAGCTTTCCGAGGAAAGTGCCTTTGAACGATGATGTATTTATTCGAGTTGGACTAAACTTCGAACCGAACAGTGTCCGTGTTATCACAGACAAATGTATAGCCACGTCATCGCCGTCATGTGCCGATTCTAACTGGCAACCACTTATCATATCCGGGTATTTGTGTTTTCTTGTATATCTACCATTAGGGCAAATGTAAGCTAGAACAACTTAATGAAGTTAAGGCTTTCAAAAATCGTTGCAGAGATAATCATAAATATAAATACAATGTATTTTTGATGACTAAATTAACCTATCTCATTTTTATTTCTGATACTACATGTCCTTGATTGCACATATCCATGGTATTTCTACGCTAACAGTCCTGCAGTTAAATTTTGATGCATAGACAAAAGTAAAATGCATCGTCGATTCTTTTGAAAATAAGGCGATAACAAGATTTTCTAAATTTTACCCACAGGTGTCCAAAAGACAGTGTAAGTCTGCTATCAACGAATGTGTCCAGTGATGTCAGATTCTCGTTCAAGGCGTTCGACTTCCGCCATAATTCATCTGGCTTCGTCTATATACACTGTGAAGTTTCTGTATGTGGGACAGACGACATTTCGTGTATCATGGGATGTGCGTCACGAGCGAAGAGATCTGCAAGCAGCCGACAAGGATCGCATTTGGTTTCAACCGGCCCTCTGTTAATTGAAAGACAGGACGATAAAGGTAAATTGTACTACTTTTTATACTCTCCCTCAGAAATGAATCATTATAATGTATATGAAATGATGGTGTCCTGTCATAACACATAATAACTTATAAATGCAATTGATTTTGTAGATATAGGCATGAGACCATACTTTTTAACTGTATTTCATTATCCTCTTAAACGTTTTATACTTACAGAAGTGGTTACTATGCCAACAGTGCTTGTGGTCGTCTGTGCAGTGGTAGCCATGGCGTCTCTAATAGTGGCTATAGTGGGCTCGACAAGAAAACACCGGACTATTAGTGCAGCAATATAAACATTATACACTGAAATTCATAGAAATAGTAACTTGATGTAATATTAATATATGACTTTCATTGATGAAATCAATTTGTGTTATCATTTCAACTTTTTCTATTAAAATGTAAGTTGGAAATTGGCATGTATATAATATTACATTAAACGACACATGAATATATATACTTTGTCTATCTTGTAATAAACCATATTTAACATCGAGTTTGGATCTTTTTCTTACATACATTCGAGAACAAGCGTAATTTGCTCAGCATTTGCTCAGAAACGTACATGTATCTAAATGCTAGTTAACAGAACATGCTAGTCATGGACCAAACAATGTTACCAAACAATGTTAGCAATAGCCCACAAGTAGGTTTGAAATACACCTATATGAAAACAGTGAAAATATAGGCTTTTACATTTTGTATTGATGTAAAGAGTTACAGGAAGTTGGTAAGACGGATGAAAACAACAAGAACTGTTAACAATAAACAAGCGATGTATTCATTCTAATCCTGCAGAGATGTACATCTGAATAGAAAGAGAACGTACGTCTTCTTTCTGGCGTCTCTTAATCCCTTTATATGCTGAGCATACTAGTAACTATAAACTAATGAAAAATTGGAATTGCCAGGTCCTCTACTGATGACAGTACAATAAAACAGTTGATTCTAACTCGAAATGGAATCAAGATAAAAACAGGTGCTTTCATTACAACCAGATACACCGCATCTGCGAAAGCTATGGCCAGTGTTTTAAAGTTGCAACCACTTGCGTTTAAATGATATTTAGTCTAACTTAGGATATTCGATTTTAATAATCATTATCATATAAAACATGAGAATGACTTAAGGCAGGTGTCTATATTTATTAAACAACATGCGATTATTTCGACAAAATTAAAGCATTGATAAGATATATCATACACCACTATCACTGTGGTATACCGTACCCCGGATATTGCTCGATATTATGAGGACTTTCATCCCATTTCGCGACGTTGAACGGGGAACGAAGGTAAGTTCAGCGACGATATTTTCCAAACTAATGGTTATTTCATTTATCTCAACGGGTTTTATATATGTAGAGGTATATTTGTAGCTCTAAAAGATATAAAAGTATTACAGGTATTTGTAAAATTGATTAAACTACCCCTTAACGATCCGCTACTCACTAGAAAATACTGACCGCGATACTGTAGAATCGTTAGAAATTATTATATTACCAATATAAAAAAAACTGAATCGAGCAATTTTTTTATTCACATTCCAAGTATACTTTGTCCAAATTTCAGGAAAAAAGTGTGAAAGTACAAAAAGATATAGGCCAAAAAAGATACAAGAAAGTGTACCGAGTATTGATTTTAAGTGTACAGAGTATTGCAAAATAGCCCAACTTTAGTGTACAGTGTATTGCAAAACAGAATGAGCACATAAGTATGGAAAATCGATATTTTTGTCTAATTTTTACGTCTGTTTATCGATTAGTTTATTGGCCCGAGAGCTTATGCCGTCCAAGCATGTCGGTATTGTCTTAACCTTTTACTGCAGGCTGTTTTCATTGAATTAAGCCTGTGGTTCAAGTTCAAACTGCTGTGAAATTATAAAATAATGCTTCAATACTGATCAAATTGGGTACAAATGTTGGCTTGACCATAGCCTGTGCAATAGCATGCTCAATTTTAGATTTCCAGTTACTATGGCAACGGGGGACGTCTCAAAATTGCCAAAATATCCATTTACATTGTTTTCTCCCATTAAAACCGATTTCAAGGTGCAGCAACTTCTCAATTGATTGAGATAAAACCTAAGGCATTTCGGCGTTGATTACACGGTACCTTTAAATCGACCTGAGGCCATTTTAGCCCCCCACAAGTCCCAAACCTTCTCGGCGACTAGACGGACTACTGCCCCACTTCAAACCTCAAAACAGAAGGGGACACATCCCCGACTGTGACACCACCTTGATGTACCTACCTTTTTATTGGGGTGGCGCCAAAAAGTGATCATGCACTCTTTTGAAAAACATTTCTGAAACAAACAAAAAAAACAACAGAGTTTTGGGCTTAAATAGCGCATGATTTACACTATTTGAGGCCTCAAAGGGGATGGGGTATAAAGCCTTCAAAACACGGGTTTATGTGGTAAAAGGTTATAAGGAACATAACCTTTTTATTGCATCTGCTGCCCTTTACCATAATCTTATCAAAATCCATTATTCGGTTTTATTGAGCTGTACCCGCTCGGCAGTCATACGGTAACTCATTGCTAAAAAAGTAACACATTTCACGTGCAGATAGTCTGGCGTTTCTAGAATGCAGGTGCAAAATGACCGAAAGTTACCCTTATATGGATTTTTGGCATAGTAGATTAGATATTGGCACACTTGCTCAATACCGTCTAATATTGACAATCTTGAGGCAGCATTAATACATTTTGGATGCATGTTTTTACTATTTAAAGTAAGATATGCAATAATTATTAACAAATTCTGGAAAGGTTGATCCTTGGATAGCAACGAGAACTTTGTAAACACAAAAAATTGCTGAGTTCGTTCGACTGAGATTTTTCATAAGCAGGAATGAAAATCTGGATTATTACTGATGTTTCCAGTAAAGTACCCCCGAACTCTGCATTTTCTGCACATATAGTGTAAATTAGTATACACAATAGGAAATATTTAAGATTAAATGTGGTAAATACTCAGTGTTTACACCTTGCATTTACTCTATATTGATAACCAATACTCGTTACACTAAAAAGCAATACTCGTGACACCGGCGGGCAACTCCAACGCAATACTCAGTACACTGACATGTGTATTTATTCTCAAAATGCACTGTCATCTGAGGTTCTATTGTTGATTTAACATTTACAACATAAAAATTATCATCATTATCACATTTCACTCGATCCAAATTTTTCTTTTAAGGAAGTATATGCACAAAAACATATAATTTGACTTATACGAGCTCATTTATCACGTGAGCAAAGAGACGAATTTTACCTCCTAATTACATTTCAAAGCTATATCTCAACATTTTTGGGTTTTCAGTAACTAGAGAAATTATCGAAGTATTTGTTTTTCTATAAAATTTATATCAAACCAATTCAAAATGAAAAAAATATCGTCATTGAACTTACCTTCTTTCCTCGTTCAAAGTCGCGAAATGGGATGAAAGTCCTCATAATATCGAGCAATATCCGGGGTACGGTATACCGCAGTGACTATGGGGTATTTTATTTTATCGGTAAATTTAGAAGTGCACTTTTAACTTGTACTACAAAAGCCAGGTATTTTCACTGTGACGGTGTAAATTTATAACTGATCGATAGCAACGTGTCTAATCGCGATCAACAGTCAAATATGGCGTCTACAGATCTATAAAAGTGACATTTTAAAAACAAAAATGAAAGGATTAATCTTATGTTTTAATATATTCTGTTTGTTCCTTTCTTTGCCGTCTTTCTCATTATCTATTAATGGAGGTTTGTATAGTGTTTCTTTATAATGTAGCTTATAATTTATTCAACAATGCTGACTTGTAATTTAATAATTTAAGTTTATAAATACAATGGAATTTTGCCTGATTACAGAACATTGGTGTGTACATGAACATTTATTTTGAAATAAAAAGTTGTTTGAGTGAAGGATATTAAAGTGAATTGATATATAATGGTAGGTCTGTCATACAATGAATTATTACGTTGATAGCATTAAATAGTATCAGACATAACAAGAAACCACGAAAGAATTGTACATGGAAGTTGCAGGCAAGTGTGAGATACATCTATGACCATATATTAGATTTATTTATATAGCAGATATAATAAAGTGTTCAAGACCAATTTTTTTTTCATTAGAAAAATTTGATATCAAGATTATGAAATTAAATTTGAATGTAAATTAAAGATTAAACGCAAAAACAGTTTTCGAAATTTCTATTATTAGATCATGTCGCAATTGATTTTTTTCTTTTAAATTGGTTTTATTGATTTCAATGCACATAACGTATTTCATTTTTCATTCATAAGTATACATCGTAAATAATAGCGCAAAAAATAGAGTGAAGTTACCAAAAATGTATGGTAGAGTGTGACATGAATTGGAGTACTATTCCCATGATTACATATATATTGTATTGTATTGTATTGTATTGTATTGTATTGTATTGTATTGTATTGTATTGAATAATCTTTTCTCCTCTACTGGATAAGTTTTAAGGTTGAGTTTCAACCTTCTCCTATATTTCAAATATTTGAAAAGAGATGTATTATTATCATTATCATGCATTACTCTGTCATGTCATATATAGTATGTTTGTAATATGTTGTCCTCGTGGGCTTATTAGCCTATTGGAAATGAAATAAATAAATTCAATTCAAATTCATATAAACTAATGGTATAACAATATCGTAATTGCTAGTCTTAAGTTGATAAATTCCTATATAAATGTGTAAAAACATTTTACACTATTTTATTTATCTATTGAATATAACACGTCACTTTAATACGTTTAGCTGTACTATAGGGATGATTCCTGGTAAAAGAAATTTGATAGAGACCGAATACAAATGAATGTATGATGTATTGTCACTGATGAGAAAGTGTAAGATTTTCCATTTCAAAGTGACCTATTCAATATGTAATTTTACCTTTCTTTTGGTAATTACTTCAGTAATATACATTAACAAAGAATTATTTGATTCTATTATTTTTATGAAGTTCAAGTATTTAAACATTTTGTTTCGTTTTTTTTTCTCCATAGGTTACCTAAATCTGATATGTAACACTACATCTTATGTCGGGACCAGCCGGAAGTTGGAATCGTCCACTTCCCTCTTCTATGAACCAGATACATCATGTTACCACTCAGTGACAGTCGACGCGTCCAAAAAGGTCATGCTTCTAATGAGGTAGGTGCTAAATACGTCATGTGCCTTTTTTAAGTACCGCTAAAGCCGGTGCTAGGGGACGTAAAGGGTGTTGCACTTTTTCATTATCCCTCATGTACAGACTCAATCAAACCGAGTTTGTAATTTTCATGTAATTTTATGATTTTGATGCTTCCGAGGGATCACTTTTTTCCAGATATTTGAATTAAAATTAGATATTTACTTCTTAGATGCAATATTATTGATGATATATGTGTAAGAGGTCAAAAATGCTCCTTATGAGATATTTATTTAGCTAAGATGTTCTTTAAAAGTTGTGTTTTATTTATCATGTTCATTGTGTTTTTATATCTCATTACGTTTTTATAACACATGCTCAAGTTTTGTAGCTTATGCGTATTAATTATGTTTGTTTTTATTACGCATGCTCATTATGTTTTTTATAACTCATGCTCATTAAAAGGTACAGAGATTTTGTTTTCTCAAGAAGTAGATATTTATAATTCCTTGTAATGAAATTAAATATATTTAAGATGGCATATACTTGATCTACCTTTTATTTTAAAGACGCTTTGATCTAGAGACGGAAGTTAAAGGGGCGTGCGTCGATTTGGTCAACATTCACGACGGCCCTACTACGACGGACACCACGCTCAACAGCAGTCCATTATGTGGTGAACTGCCAGTGTCGAACTATACCTCCTCTAGCAACTCTATGACGATCTGGTTTCAAACAGACTCTACTGGAAATAGGCACGGGTTCGATTTCATTTTTGTCGCCGTGACAGCAGGTAAAGAAAACCTTTAGAAATGGCACACAAAAACTCATATGAGCCGCGCCACGACAAAACCAACATAATGGGTTTGCGACCAGCATGGACCCAGACCAGCCTGCGCGGATGAATAAAGAGAATGGCTTTGAAAATTAAAAAGATAAATCCGTAGTTGTCATTACTACAAATGACTTATGATTTCATAAGGACAAGAAAAGTTTTTAAACAGATAAAACCAAAACATATTTTCAATACTTAGCGTTGTGTACAAACCAACCAGTCACACGAAAGGCTGTATACATTTAACAAAATAAAAACAACAACATCAAAAACCCACAACACAAATTCCTCTAAATTGTAGGGAATTAATAGGGATACGAGATCATAAATATAACTTTTTTCCCTAATCTAATGACGTCATAGATTTCTGAACAAATTTCTTTCTTTTTTTATCAACATAACAGGACAATCTGCATGTACACTAAAGTCTTGTATTATATTTACAGCACCGTGTTCGTCGGGACAGTTTTCGTGTAATAATAGTGTATGTATTGACGGTTCTTTACAATGTACTGTATACAATGAGTGCGGAGATAATACCGACGAGGAAAACTGCGTTTGTAAGTAAAACAAATATGAATTATATTTTGCAGAGTTTATGTTGAAACAAATTTTATTGTCAACAACTATCATAATTAAATTTACTATAAAGTGGAAACAATTGCGTTTATATTGGCATTCAAAAGGCAGAAGCTGTAACTAAATTGACTTTTAGTTTTCAAAGGCAGCAATGATAATAAAGCTAGCTTTAATTGACAGCAATAGCTATTAAGGTTATAAAGTGTAAATTGTTATGTGACAGAGAAAATTAAGAACAGTTGGTTATTAAGCCATTAAATAGAGGATATTTGTTTAGTTCAGTGTAAGATCGGAATATATTTCACCGAGTGAGCACCAAAAGGTATATTTCACGAGTGGCGTAGCCACGAGTGAAATATGAACTTTTGGTGTTCACAAGGTGAAATATATTTCGATCTTACACTAAACTAAACAAATTTTCTTTTTATTATATGCAAAGAAACGTTTTAAAAAGACATTAAACCTAATACTGAATGAAAAGCGCGCCAAACAATAATACAATGTGACGTTTATAAAGTTGGTTCCCAGTACTGTGCACGCTGGTATTTCACTGAAAAAACGTAAGGGGCTTAAATTCAAAACAGTGAAATTATCAAATTGATAATTTCACTGTTTAAAACAGTGAAATTACCAGACTTATATTTCACTGATATATTTCTATAAACCACCGAAAAGCATGTAATAAACATGCTTTAATGCGGAAACAAATGTTGTTTAGGTTGATGGTATTGAAAGGGCAGTTGCTGTTAACATGACTTTAAGATGGTATCATATTGCTATGAACATGTCAATTTGTGTATTGTGTCTTACAAAGTCACGGGACGCTTTAATTTTATGGAATTGTTTGCCGTCTCGTCAAGCGTCTCATGATCCAGATCTAGTCCAAGCTTTATCGATGTTTTCACGAATAATACTGATTGACAACCTGTATTTTTGTTTTCTGTCGATCATACTAATTTTTAGCTCCATTTTGAGACCGATTTTAGCTTTTAACTCTCTGTATTTATTGAGATATACGAGTTCCAAGTAGTCTTCACCGTTCACCACGATTTACTTCGGGTAGCGAGTGACGTCACAAGTACTGGGTCGCGCGCTCCTATTCTATTTAAGCTACTGGGTTAACCTATCATACTCAGTTGGGCATTAAGTTCTTTACCAACCAGTCGTAAGAAATGTACTCCAATCAGGAGGTTTGTACCCAAATAGAATTATAAACATTTAACCTGTCACTGATCTGGGATCTTTATACAATTTTATATAACTCTCAAGTTGGTATTATAAACTTAACTTGAACCCATTTTTAGAACTTTACCCAATCTGGTATTTGACCCAATCTGGAACTTGACCGGATTCTGACTTGACCCAATCTGGTAAATCTATAATTAACTATATACTTGGAACTCGGATATTATATTATAGTACTAGATCTACATATATGTTTCTCTAATAAGCTCAGTTGTTTACTATAGAACAATCTGGTTAAAGCCAGATTAACTAATATTGTATGTTAATATTTCATGAATAAACTATCATGAACCAATAATAAAATCATAGATTGAACTGGAACATGCCTTATTTATCTCTCAATAGGTAGAACCAAATCTAACTCCCACACATGTTACTTTCCCCTTATTAACGCCTGGCATATATCTAGATCCTGACTAGCTTGAAGCGAACACCCTTTTCTCACTTTTAAGGGGGCGTAACAATATGATGTTCAGTTTTCCTTTAAGTGATAAAATTTGTCGAAAATCATCCCTAGTAGAAACAGTTTTCAATACATCTTTTTTTGTACATGTATTATACGTATGTAGATTTTCTACTCAATTAAAATACCACTGCCAAATAAAAGGCAAAATATCAAGTTTCTATGATCGATGATTCCTTTAAAGAGAAACTTCAAGGTTTATTTACATTTTTTTAGACCAGACACTAAATGGTGTAGAAATGGATGAAAACGCCCCGCTGATCATTGGTCTTACTATTGGACTCTTCATTGCCGCCATCATTGGAATAATTATCGGACTTTGGTGTTGGAAGCAGAACCGCTGGCGGTTGTTTGCAAACCGCCCTCTAACGGCAAAAGAAGTCGTGTTTGATGAGACTACGTACACCACTGCATACCCTGTGACAAAGGTCTACTATAAGGAAAGGTTTGGTCGATTTTATTATTAATTACAGTTACAAATACAATTAACTTTGTACTTCAGGTTTCTTTGATTGTTTTATGCAATGAAACCACGGCCTTTAAATTTGCCGGGGTCGTATAAAAGGTTAAGAAGGAAAATCGCAAAACACGGCACAGGGGAATGTATTGTTTATACATGTATACAGAATGAATGCTGGAAAGTGACTTAATCCTTGATAAAATGATTTAATTAACTATATATAGCAACATAATTGACCAGACCTATGGGCTGAATGCCTGTGGGGACAGGGGCGTGTACAAACCATCAGACATTTGGTGAAAACATTCAGTTATTAGACCTTTTAATACCGTTATTATCCGAATCCTATTTGAAATACTATAAATAAACACCAATATTTCTCTGAACTTTTATCATTTAAAAACATGCAATTATAGCACTGCCACAGTTATTTGATGGTGCAACCATCTCCATACCGTGTAACAAAAGTATCCTGTGACTTTTTATAGGCTGTAGATACATTTATTATATTACATGTACTATTTGTCAGGTATCAAGACGTGTATACCAACCCGACGAAGTCATACACAGAAGGTAGCTCGAGCACGTTAACATTCAACGAACAAGCGTCTACATCCACAAGAAAAGACGCCAACGTGTACGAATGACGTCAACCAGAATGAAAATGAGCCGCGTCACGACAAAACCAACGTAATGCGTTTGCGACCAGCATGGATCTAGACCAGCCTGCGCATTCGCGCAGTCTGATCAGGATCCATGCTGTTCGCTAACAAACCCTATTACAAGTAGAGAAACTGATTGCGAACAGCATGGATCCTGATCAGACTGTCCGGAGGCGCAGGCTGGTCTGGATCCATGCTGGTCGCAAACCCATTATGTTGGTTTTGTCATGACGTGGCTCATTAATTTGATTTTACGTTATAGAAATTATCGTTGTTTTAACTTTGTTTTGGGATTGTTGTATATAAATCACTTTTAGCCAGTGTCAATAAGCATTTATGAATGGGAAAGTATCTATGCTTTGCCAAGGTTTGAAGTTTGTCAATATAATCTTATTTTGAATATTTTGTAACATTATGATGATGAAAGAATAAAGGTTTGTATATTATTACAAATGTAAAATTAAAGAAAATATTCCAGTTTTAATTGCAAAGTTTATAGAGACATAACACGCTTGCGGTTGACCTGTTGACTATCATTTGTTACAGGTTGTTATATATAATATAATTTATGATATTATTTTTTATAATCTAATGTATGTCTTTTTTATAAATAATAATTTACGTAAATGTTACAAATGCATTTAAACAGATTCGCAGGCGAATTCTCTTTCCATTTTTTTGTAAATTTGTAATTAAATAGTTGTTGATTCATTGTCCATAAAAATTGTTTACTAAAAATATTTAATCGTTTTAAGAGCTTTATTTTTTATATTCTTATCAAATATATTAATATTATGTTGGTGCAATTGTTAAATCAAATCTTCCTTATTTAATATTAATAATTAAATGGCTTATCAGTAAAACGCTTTCTTGAGTTGAAACTATTAGAACATGATGAAAATTTCGGTCCCAGTTTTTAAGTTGTTCTTAATTGATCTCGGATTTTAATAACTTGATTTAGTGTTTCATGTCATAAATCACAAAATTTCTAAAGGTAAGCGTGTAAAAAATATTGAATAAAGAATGCATAGTTTCTAATCAATCAACTAAAACAGCCCAATTATTTAAACACTGTAATTCATCATAAATATAGTATGTACTGTAAACATTGGACAAATGTATTTTGTTATAAATACAGCACTTTATATCTAATTTATGTCTTAGTAATTATTAACACGAATCTGTCATTTTTTATACTCTTACAACATCATTGTTGATGATTTTCAATGTTAGATATTATTGTTACAAGGTTAAATCTTATCATATATTATCTTGAGTTGTATGTTCAAGTCTTTAATAAACTTCTGTTCGGTTCTAAATTGCATATAATAGTAGTTTGGCAGTGCTTTGCTCAGAAGAACAAATATCACAAAGCAACGTCTTCTTTGTAAGACTATTAATATCTGTGAGTTTTACCAAAAATCAATCAAATACTAGAAATGTTATCATGAAATAACTTTACACAGTAATTCTTAATAAACTAAACATGATGTATATTCTATAGAAGGAATTAAAGCATGTTTTAGGCCCTATTTAATTTGTCCTTGAAATCGTGCCGTATATTTTACAGAAACAAACATTTGTGCTTTTCATATTCTTCTTAGTCCATTGTATACTCATCAATATTTGACTATTACCTTAGTTGGTAACATAATTGTAAATGTCTACATAAGTCGTCCCGTTTCAAATTGTGTAGTCAAAAAGTATTGTTTTTATCGTTATTCAGTTCCCTTTATGCATCAATATTAAATCTTTAATTAAGATGTCAAAAATATTCACATTTTGCCGAAAAGACAATATGCAATAAGATGTTTTCTTTTTATTGGACCCCATGTCTTAACAAATATAATTCATATCTAATGCCTTTATGATATCTTCCTTATTTCTTAATAACACTTAATGCAAATAAATTGTAGTTTCTTTTATATTGTTTGTAATTATATCTTACCCATACTTCTCCATATTTATTTTCACACTGAATACATTGAGAACATAGGAAAGTGATCACGTATCTTTTAGAGAAACGAGACAATTATAAACCATCGTCATCCCGGAAATATTTGCAACATTTATTTAATTATCAAACTCCTGGTAATGACGGTCAGGTGAGGACAGCCGGACAGCAGTCTATATGAACTACCCATCACTGAAAGCCGTTGGACATGGAATGAACATTGACGTCAAACTTGGGACAGAATTGTAAGGTTTAGCGCATTCTTTTGGCTAGTGCAAAATATTTCCAGATTCTGTCCCAGAATTAACATTCCAAAGGAACTGTTAATTCTTTAGGACACGGTCATGAACGACACATAAATCATTACAGAAAAACATATACCAAGACCAGTGCTTGAAATTTGGAGTCCTTAGATCCAAAGATGCCTGTAATATTATAATAGTGCAAACTACTAAGAGTTTCTGCATATTTTTTCTCAAATCGATGACTGCCCTACAACGGACAAACTTTGTATTTGTTGAATGGGGACATAATGTGACATAGATGTTTTCTGTAAGTTTTTAATGTCATCTACAGAGTCCGGTGTGATCCAATGCTATTCTGACTACAGTTTTTACATACAAATAAGATCCTTCATGGCTGTTAACAAACAAGTATTATTATTACCACAGTCATGTATATCAACAACAAACAAACAAGAATTTTAAGCCATTTTTTATTTCTGAAAGAGTTTCATTTTTAATGCAATTTCAAAAACTTAAAAAATAACAGTTTCAATGGATAAGTTAACAGAAAAAAACTTTTGTTATGAATAATTCATAAAAGAATATATCTATATTTACACAAAAACACATTTCAATTTTCATTCTATTTATACGATCCAAACCAAATTTGATTCTTGACTTTTCATGAATATGTTTCTATTACATGTAATATGACATTGCAATAAAAGAAGTCCTTAAACTAGTTTCAAATTCCAATTTTATAGATAACACACTTTCTACAAACAGGGATACTGTAAAATTGATATAAAGTAATTAGCAAAAGGGAAATTTGATAATTATAGACATTAATTAAGTAAACAATCTTTAAGTTTTGGTGGTAGTTTTTTTATCACAAGAAAAGACAGTTTGATGGACACCACTCGCAATGAGTTAATCTACTTTCGTTGTTACATGGCTGACATAGAAGACCTTGTATACTAGTGATAAACACTTCAGAGAATGTAATAATTCATATTACTACAGCTGAGATGGTGAATGTTGACATAATGGTGAAATATATCACTGTATTACACAATGTTTAATCATATATGATTACCACATCCTCCCCTACCCTCAATGCTAAAACAAACTCTTCTAATACAATTACAAAACATATCAATTTCACATAAGAAAGATGCAAGGGCATGGCAAAAACATAGTTCAGTTTTTTTCAAAATGAAATATTATAAGTATAATTCAAAAAAGCTTCACAAACAACAAAATGATCACACTATGATAAAGCACTAAGTTTGCACGAAACTCTAAACAAGAGTAACCAAGCTTTACATAATATACATTTACAATTAGAAAGAAATCTTATGTTTCATTTAATTAACCTGAACAGAGAAGATAAAATACAAATTTAATGTGCAAGTAAATTACATGTACTATAACATAATGTTTTCTACATACATGCAATTAGTCATATACATGCCACAACAAAGGAGTAGCAAATTTCAGCATACAAAAAATCATAAAAGAAAGGATTGACTTGTAGAACGTAATTATGCCCCAAACGCTGAACATATCACCATTTTGTCACCGGTTTATAAATAATATCATGTCACTATTGTGTTATATATGTATAATAAAAAGAGCGATCAGTGATCACATGTGTCGCCTCATGATGGCCAATTTCATGTTGGGACAAGTTTTGTGACAGACGGACAGACAGTGCACAACTAGACTTGGTACTGATCATTCCTGTAAAGTTTGGATAAAATTGCACCATTAGTTTATGAGGAGTAGTCCGGACAAGCTTTTGTGTATCTGGCAACACACAGAAAAAAACACCTTTATATCAAAGGGCCATAACTCGGCCAAAAATCATTCAACTGGAAAACCAATGCAATATGCGCAAGGACTTGAGCTACAGATCAATCCTGTAAAGTTTCAATGAAATTGCATTAGTGGTATAAGAGAAGTAGTCCGGACAAACTTTAAAAATAAAAATGATTAAAGGGCCATAACTCTGACAAAAATCACTGAACCGGAAAATGCTGACAATATGCACATTTAGACTTGGTACTGATCATTCCTGTAAAGTTTGGATGAAATTGCACCAGTAGTTTATGAGGAGTAATCTGGACAAGTTTTGTGACGGACGGACAGACAGATGGACAGACAGACGACGGAGAAGTGATCCCTATATGTCGCCACTACTCCTTAGAGGCGACACAAAAAGACACTTTCAATATCCCTACATATAATTTTTTTCTTTTTTTCCAGGCTTTGAATGTCCATACATGGCAAGCAGAATAATTTTGTTACATTTCTTACTTACTTTACTTGCATTGTAACTTAAGAGTATAACATATTTACACATGAAAGGTGTTTACTTATAAACTGAAATTAAGGTATGAGTGGAAAGGGCATATTTTTTAAACACATCAATTGGCATCTTATAACAATGATAACACTCAAATATACATCTGGTACAACAGGTGTCAAGTCATTCAGGTGATTTAATATAACGAAATGAAAATATTTTTTTTCTCAATACAAAAATACTGATATAGAGCAAATAAGATGTAATAATGGTTTGTTTCTGATGCATGATTCTATATAAATTTATTTGAAATGGATTATTCATTTTTAACCACAGAATGCTTATAATATTTTTATAGAAATAAAAGTTGTGTCACATTGGATAGAAGTGATCATAGTAATGTTTTCTTTCAATATTTGATGTTGGTCCTCATTTAGTAAAAATAAGATGCATCTAAGTTTTACAGATGCGTCTTTTATTTTAATGTTCAACCATCAGAAACAAACCAAAATTCTACTTTATAAGCCTTGCGTGTTTTCTCTATATCTATGAAGAATGAAACAAAAGTGAGTATGAATACAGAATTTGAACACAAAAACAAAATATACAAGAAATGATATTACATAAACATGTTTTAACATAATTCAAAAACTTATCAAAAAGAAAAAAAATAAATAAAAAGAAGACTGAAATGGTCCCCAATGGATGTAGAGAACGATCGGTCATAGTGAACATGTATTTTCTATCACAGACTTAGAAGAAAGTGACTTAAAATCTTTGATGTTCCCTGATCTACATTCATTCAATTAAAATTACATAAATATATTCAACCTATAACCTTAAAATATACAAGTTGATAAAGATCACATCACTATGTAGATTGATATATCCTACTTTATCAAATAGTGTGTTTTTATATGTTTAATATATATGAAATTTAATCAAGGAATCTGAAATATTTAGTTTGATAAATCATACTAAATTATGCAAAATTTGATTGTTGAAAAAAAAAAAAAAAAAAAAAATGCTGATAACTTCATAAATAAAAAAATGATTTGTTTGACTTGACATATAACTTAATATTAATCATACAAAAATATCTGATGCCATAAAACTAACATTAACATTTGTCTAATGTGTAATTTTCTTGGTCAGTAGTTGATAAGTAAATTAATTCAACCACAGAAAATTGAATTTTGTCTTGAATGGCATGTCTTAGAGTTGCAATAATTTTATGCAACAATGCTTATTTTAAGTTTGGTAACAATTGTTAATTGGAGTAAACAGTCAGTTTTTTTGTTGTTTTTTACAGTTAATAAATTTAAGTGATAGATCCCATGGGTTCCTGACTTTTCTAACTATAATTTCTTCCATTATAACAAAAAACATGAAATAAAATGTTGAATAGCATTTCTTTTTCATTTCAATTCAATTAAAATGTGTATAAATTGACTAGATTTTAACAAAATTGTGACAAAAACCTTGAGTATCATTGATCAAATGTAAGACAAATAATAGCTGACATTTTGTTTATATTTGATTTGTTATAATAATCTCTATAGTTTTTAAAAAACTAATTTGAAGAAAATAACATTTCTATTTTTGACACCTATGAAATAATGCTATGTGAGCAATTGATACAATTCTATGTAACATGATTCCAATTTATTGATGAAATCGGCTAGTCCAGCTTTTATTTTAGAATTTTTCCATTGTTAGCTTAAGGGGTTTTAAATTTCAAAATGTTTAAGGGAAGATGCCAGCAGTACAGTAAAGGATCTGGCTGACTTTATACTGGCAGCAAGGCAAATTATTTACTCTACTCGAGTAAAGTTGATATCTTTCCTGTCCTGTTTTACTACAATATTTTAAGTCATTAATGTAATCAAGTATATTAAAATAATTACTCCTCATTGTTTTTGTAATGTTAATTTCCCATAAGCCAATGAGAGTTATTCTTAATGCTAACTCAAGTGTTCCATGTGACTTACTCCTCGACTAACAGTATTTTCCTTGGGGTGGTATTTTTACTGTTACTCACAAACCTATGTGTTATTTATATAATGTTAAATGTTTTATGACCTAACGGAAAAAAAGCTGCAATAACCTTCCATTTCATTATGCATATATAAAAACAAATAGAAATAAGTTCTTAAAAAATTAGGACATATGTAATTAAAATTAAAAATGTAACAAATATAAGAAATAACTTGTGCATGTTATACAAGCCCCAGACATGGAATATAAACAATAATTTTGTTAGGCTTAAATCAGAAAACATAGTGAATTTTGATATGTATTTAGGCAACAATCTATTAATACAGATGTTTATATAATATGATTATACAATAATAAAACTTGGTGGAAATGCAATTATTAAAACATTTTTGTAATATTCCATAAAAAAGGCATAATGAAAATTTGATTGTAAATGAGTGCAGGTAAACAATTTCAAAAGAAGTGTAAAATGAAAAAAATTTAAACTCCATATATAAATGAAACTAAGAAAATTTTTCACAATAAGTGTTATAAAGAGAAAAGAAAATGCTACATTTAATGGATGAATATAAACTCATTCTATGATTGTGAACAATCACCTACATACACAAAATTAATGTCTGGGAAAGAAACTGTCTTTGACACAGGTATACTGATCACTTACTCTCTCTGACACTGTTATTTGTGAATATTATGAAAGATTGTAGATTAAAAATAATCATCACCAGTTTTACACAAGCAATCAGTGTATTAACTCAGATAAACTGTCAAATTTCTTAAATGGACTTTCAGGTTTTTCCGTTTTTACGCACCAATCTGTTATTCATTTTGAAAACATCAAAATACAACAGGTTGAGCTTGTCAGACAACAATCTAGAGCCTGGTCAGATTGAATGTTAAATTTGTATAGGCTGACCAGTCCTATATTTACTAGCAACCAAGGTCAATCACTTATTGTTCAGGCAGATCAAGGGTTAAATATGTTAAATAACATACTGAAAATCCATCAATTATCTTATATATAAAAATATCACTCTACATCATTATTCAAATAGAGAAGGTTTATAGATTCATAAAGATGTAATACTGTAATTCTCCTGCTAGCTTGTATCAAGGCACAATTTGAAAAATAGAATACCATTTTTATACCTTTATAAATACAATGGAATCTTGCACTTTTTTTTTGCAGAATGTTTCAAAGAAAATAAAAGTAGGGGGTTGAAAATCTTGAGATTTATCAAAGAAATAAACATGAATATTAGCATGGGGTGTAGTTAAAAGATTTTTGCATACTGTTTTCATCTTTTTTGTTAATATAATGAGGAAATAATATCAAAATTAATGAAGTATCAAATGCCAATCCCAACTTAATTCAAAGTTCAAAGAATTTCTTTTTTTATGCAAAATTATGAATTCAGCAACAATTTCTATGAAATAAATTATCAGCTGATATTAATTGGCATATATCTTGGAAAGATATCGTTGGGAATAATCTATAATTTCAAAGACAGGACCTGGTACATTATTACGAAACAAAATCTGAAGGAATGATCATATATATTAAATGTTTGAAGGGGTATTTTTACTGTTCCCAATCTGTCAAACAAGCATGGTATTTTATTCACTTATTTTCAGAATATGTTGCATGAAAGGTGGAATAAGCCGCTTCACGACAAAACTAACATAATGGGTTTGCAACCAGCATGGATCCAGACCAGCCTGTACTGGTCGCAACCCATTATGTGGTTTTGTCGTGACGCGGCTCAAATTAATTCAGAGCTTTCCTCCAATAAGGAAATTGTTTGTATTAAGTTAGTACAACCCATCAAACTATATTAATTCATAAGAAAAACAGAAAGTTAACATTCCTAGAATTATTATGACACAAAAAATAACATGATTTCAAAAATACAACACTCCCTAAAATGTGATGATTGATTTTGACCTTTAAGTAAATTGCCTCAGCTTTTATATGATTAATGTAATAACACTTTATGTAATGGGGGTGATACTGCTATAAGGAGTTATGTAATGGGTTGATAATGATGAGTTTTATACACAATTTTGTATTTATAAACATTACATGTATGTTATGATGAAACAATATACTTGTCAATGATTCTTCCATAATATTTCTAATAGGTGATCAAAGTTATCATAGAAGAAAAAGGAAATATGTTGATTTTATTATGTGAGATTGTATAAACATTTTCTACTCTATTAAAAATACAAATATAAAAGCTGCCCACATCTACAATATAATTATTTATATAAAACTTCATACTTTAAAAATGTCAAGGTAAACAAACTATTAATAACAAGAGTAAATTTAAAATACTTCAGAATTGTTAGTTACACTTCTCACCTTAACATTGTGACATTTTAAGAGACATTTCAGAATAATACATGTATCTGAAAGTTTTTTAAATCTATTCAAGCTATCAATATGTTTGGAAAACCTTAAGACTAGAATTTAATATTTTTAAAGCATCATTCTGGACATCATTTAAAAGGAGAAACAACTTTTTTTATATCCCAAATTATTCCTAGTTCCTCAAGCTCTATCAGATAATTTTTTATTTCCTAAAATAATCATTAACTAGGAAGTAAATAAACAATTTTTTTATCATACCCAAAGTGAAGTTATCACTCTTCAAATACTACATTTTGTATTATGTTTCTGTTAACCACAGGTAATTAAAGGAATTAAAACAAAATTCCTTGAAAGACATTTTATTTGACAATAATCTCAATGAATCAAGGCTTACCTACATAATCCCTGTCAAAACAATCACTTAATTACATAACCAAGTTACATTTACGTCAGTTTCAGATTGTTTTAATAAAATTCCAGGGGGTATGTTTCAACAGAAATCGACTTACTGAGTTTTCTTTTTCAGTATCATTCAACTTGAGTTCTATTTTCAAATTCTAAATTACAGGATATTTGATTAAAAATTGTACCAAACTTGGACTAGACAATACACAAAATATATTTTATTCTTATCCTATACCTAACATTTGTCCACATAAAAAATCATACTTAAATTTAAATATACAGATATATTTTTTTCATGCCATTGCTTATTTTCTATATATTCTACATATACTAAGTTTGGCTTTTAACCCAGGAACTTTCATCATGCAGTAAACACAAAAGTGTGCGACAAAAGCCATGTTATATTCATTGCTGATAACATTATTGTCAGCAATTCGTGTCCATGGAAATTTAAAGCACAATACATAACTTTAATACAATAACATACACAATTGTTTAGAACATATATTTTTCATATCAAACATTCTAGAATAATCTCTTTCTAATCTGTGAGCCCTTTATCTCTACAATACTATTAGCTATAGCAATGCTGTCACTGATTTCTATATGAAGTAATATTCTATATCCAGTAAAATACATGATGAAATTTTTTATGTACAAATGACAAAAAAACATCACACTATATCAATGATAAAACAATAACAGTAAATTAATAATTAATACTAAATGTAATCCAAATTCTTATCTAGATATTAATGTTCTTATTACACTTCACACCAAAAACCAGCCTAAACTCAATGCTTCTGATTGGCTTTTCCTCTGTTCACATTTGTAAAACCAACCAATGACAAAGAGTCATTTCATAGACTGGTTGTTCAAAAAACATTCAAAGGTATACTTGTCTTTACACTTTTCATTTTATTTCACTTCAGCAAACTTAAGTATACCACTCTATATAACACTTCTCTTCATAAAACAAAAATAAAATACTACATAGCACACTTTTGTTCCATAACAAAAATAGTACAGTTTCTAACTAATATTGCACATAAGTTTCCCTTTGTCACCTTAAAGCACAAAAACCAAGCTAGCTGCCATAGTCAAATACTTCTTTCAATAAGGTAGACAATATCTACAAACATCAGACAAGTGTCCTTCACATAAATATCTTCATCCTCATTCCAAGATATTTGCTTTATTAACAACCTGTTTCAACAACATCACCAGTGTCTACTTGAGAATTTTTCTTCCAGTTTCCACAAGTTATATTATACTGTTATAAGAACAGGACAATGGATGACAAATAACTGTAAATATTAGCACCCATCATATTCTATCATACAATATTAATGTCAATAACATAAACTTCCTGTTTTAATGATAGCAACATTGTTAACTCTCCCAGACTCTAGTCTGGGCATTTATTTTTTTGTTGTTAAAAATTACCGCATTCTCCAACCACTATTTACACTTCTATATACAATATATATATTATGAAAAAACGTCTTTCAAAAAAAAACCACAATGTTCTTTGCACAACTGTAATCCTATTAAAGCTTCACAAAGACTCAGATCATCAAAATCACAGAAAAGATTGAATCAGTAGCAAAATATACAACAAGATGATTTGATAGATAATCATGGTCATGGAGCTGCTTGTTGTGGATTATCTTGTTGTTGTTGTTGTTGCTGCTGTTGTTGTTGTTGTTGTGGCTGCATCATACTTCCAAGAATTGATCGCAGCAAGTTCTCAACTGAAATAACATAAAGAAATAGTTTTACAGATATACACCTTGAAGTAAGAAGTACTATTTAAATGTCTTCCACTGATTTTTCAACCTATAGAAAAATGTTTTATTAACCTACTTTTGTAACAAAGTAAGCACATAAGCATAACAAAAGAGCTATTATTTGTGTTGCGAGCAGGCTTTATATGCACAAATAATCAATGGTTGCTTTTAAAAATTAATTAAAATTCTAAAAAATAAAAATATAATATTAATTAATCAAAAGTAATTAAACCATTAAGGTAATAAAACTTTTAGCTAAAATTATCTTTGCCATAAACAAGAGCCACCGCCGGGCGGGGGCAACGCTCGACTTTTTACTTTTTCTAAACGCAAACATAGAAAGGTTTGAACATATCTTAACGTTTCCTTTTTATAAATTAAGTTATTCTGTCTTGTCACATTAGTTTTATTTATCTTTTTTTGTATATATATATATATATGAATAGAAACACGCAATTCTATAAATAGAAACACGCAATTCTACAAATAGAAACAAGCAATTCAATAAATAGAAAGACTAAATTCTATAAATAGAAACACTCAATTCTATAAATAGAAACACACAATTCTATAAATAGAAACATGCAACATACGTTGTTGTTGTTGTTGATGATGATGATGATGATAGATATGTATAAATATACACACACACACACACACACACCAATGAATATATAATTATGGTCATTTAATGCACAAATCTGAGAAAATTCAGTAATTTAACCTTCAAGGTCAAGGTCATTAAAGAGCCCAAGCAAATTTGGGTTTGATAAACAACAATGTTCTGTTATAATATGAAGTTGATCCCTTCAATAATAGCAAAGTTACAGTCAGTTACAGCCAAAACAATGAAAATTTCAATAATTTGACCTTCAAAGACAATGTCATTAATGAGTGAAGGTCAATGTCTTTCGGAGTTATCCTTGAAGATTATTATGTTCAAGTTTCAATACAATCCATTCAAAAATAACAAAGTTACAGCCAATAATAGCCAAAAAAATGAATATTTCAATAATTTGACCTTCAAAGTCAAGGTCATTTATGAGTGAAGGTCAAGGTCTGTCTAGTTATTTTTAAGGGATATCCCTGTAGATAATTATGTTCAAGTTTGAAAACAATCCATTCAAAAATAACAAATTACAGCCAATAATAGCCAAAAACATGAAAATTTCAATAATTTGACCTTCAAAGTAAAGGTCATTTATGAGTGAAGGTCAAGGTCTGGCTGGTTATTTTTAAGGGATATCCTTGAAGATTATTATGTTCAAGTTTGAAGACAATCCATTCAAAAATAACAAAGTTACAGCCAATAACAGCATGAACAAGCAAAAAATTGGACTTTTAACCTTGAAGGTCAAGGTCATTTATGGATGAAGGTCAAGGTTAGTGTGGTCTACTGAAAGGTCTTGTCCCAAGGGTTGTTGTGGCCAAGTATGAAGACAATACACCAAGAAATTAAAAAGTTATGATCCAGGTACAAGTTTGCGGACGGGAACGGCAACGGCAACGGCAACCCGACTATAACAATACCTATACTTTTTTTTTTCAAAAAAAAAAAAGTCGAGCTAAAAATTGGGTGAATTGATTTCTTAATAACACTATGGGAAACATTTCATAGAAATCTGGGTTCAACTCCATGTCTACATACCTTGATTATTAGGTCCACCTTGTCCTGGAACTATGACTATACTAGGAGATCCAAATTGTGTCTGGGGAAGCTGGTTCCCAGTGCTAGGGTTGTTACAGATGATAATCTGAGGGGCCAGAGGATTCTGACTTTGATTTGGTATTGAGGCTAAAACAGCAGGAGTACAAAAATAAGCAAAAGGTAAAGATTTGGTGTGATAAATAAAGGCCTTGGTTAAAAAAAATTATATCTTTTTTTTTACATAAGAATATGAGACCAATTAACACAAAGCTGGAATAAAGCTCTGTTGATACACTTTGGTTGTATGTATTACAAAACAAGACCTGTCCTTGGACAGCACACTCCACTGTTCAGTACTGGATAGTTGAAACAAGCCATGATTGCCCTGAAATAGCTCACCTGTATATAGGCACCTTGACCAAGGCCAATTTTAAACCAAGGGCTTTTATTTGAACAAACTTGGTAGACACCCATTAGAAGATGTTTCATGATAAATATCTAAGCTCTAGCTCTTTGGGGTCTTTATAAGAAGATTTTTTAAGTTTTCACTATATATATATACATATAGGGAAAAACAATGACCTCACCCCAGTGGGGCCAATTTTGATCCCAGGGCTTTTATTTGAACAAACATGGTAGACACTCACTAGAAGATATTTCATTCTTAGTTTCTAAACTCTAGCTCTTTGTGTTTTTTTTAAGAAGATTTTTAAGATTTTACTATACACATTTAAGGAAAATCAATGACCCCCGGAGTGGGGCCAATTTTAACCTAAGGGCCCTTATTTGAACATACTTGGTAGACACCTATTAGAAGATGTTTTATGCTAAATATCATAGCTCTAGCTCTATGGGTTTTTAAAAGAAGATTTTTTAGTTTTTACTATATACATAAAGGGAAAAACAATGACCCCCTGGGGCAGGGCCTATTTTCACCCTGGGCTATTATTTGAACAAACTTGGTAGACACCCACTAGATGATGTGTCATGCTCAATATCTAAGCTCTAGCTATTTTTGTTTTTTAAAAGAAGATAATTTAATTTTTTTCTTTTGGTTGCCATGGCAACCAGAGTTCTGCTTGGAATTTAATTCTTTGAACAATTTTTAAAGTTGACTACCAAAGGAACATTCTTGTGAAGTTTGGATGAAATTGACTTAACGGTTTATGAGGAGATGTCGTTTAAAGTAAAAGTTTACGGACGCTGGACGAAAAGCGATCACAAAAGTTCACCATGTCACTTTGTGACAGGTGAGCTAAAAACGACAACATAGAAAAGGGGGCATAATTCTGCAAACTTGCTTAGAAGACCAAAATATCTGCTGTTAATCGTCAACAAATATTTCAAATTACCCCACCATTCTTCAAATAGTCAAGCTGAAAATAAACTTGTGTCATATATAGAACTGGCTAAGCTATTCCCCACACACTGTCTAGTCAATAGCGTTTTATGAAGTTACAATGCTATGTGGCCCTTATGTGGGGAATAATAACTGGAAATTTCTTACTAAATCACATACTGTATGAAAATGCTCTACATGTACCAAAAAAGAAGAAAGGTCAACGTACTCAAGACAGATGTCTGACCAGGAGTTGAATGGGTTGGTGTCACTGCAATCATTGGACTTCCAGGTGATTGTACAGCTTCTAGCTGCTTTTGTGGTTGCTGAAAATACTGCCCCTGTGCTTGCTGCTGAATAGCAGGATTTAATTGCTGCTGAACAGCTTGACTTTGTTGCTGTTGAATAGCATGATTCTGACTTTGCTCCATTGTTTGTTGCTGCTGATATTGGGACTGTTGGTAATGCTGTTGTTGCGGAGTCAAAGGCTGGTCCGGTTCTTGATGCTGAAACAATTGTTGTTGCTGCTGCTGTTGTTGTTGTTGTTGTAGTTGATGATCTGTAAACAATTGTTGTTGTTGTTGCTGCTGCAGATCATTTACATTTTCTGTCTGATTCTGAAACTGTTGTTGTTGAGAAGGTGGTATAGGTGCAACAAAATGTTGTTGTTTTGCTGGTGTAGCGCCTGCAGTATAATGCTGTCCGCCTTGCTTAGATAAACCTGCTTGAGATAACATCTGTTGTAGAACTGCACTGATCTGATTGGCTTGGTTAAGGTCTGAACTCTTCAATTGTTGTGTAAGACTGGTATTTGAGTTAGATTTATGAAGGTGGTTGCCCATGGTTACCGGATCTGTCTGTTGTAACCCTGCTGTCTTTGACTGATCTTGGACCATACTTGACATAATGGTTGTCTGGTGTGACTCGTGTGTGAATGTATTCATCAGGTCAGGTGTGTGTTGTGATGCACCTTGTACCGAGTTTGAAGCCGCTCCATCCACCACACAAAATACAGGCTTTGTATCCATATTAATTGTCTGGAAAAAAAAGAGAAATATAAAATGATTAAAATGACAGGAATGTATGAAATACATGTATACTTAAAAAAACTACTGGAAAGTAGTCATTTCAAAAGCTAATGATCGTTCAACTATCTGATTAAATTCAAAAATCAGTATGAGTTTTATAATTGATTTGCAAATCTTCATCTATTTCTTCCAACAATACGATGGCATTCATTTATGGTACCCATGTACTATTTGGTTAAACAGCTAAAGGAAGACCACCAAATTATTTCAGGCATTGTCCCTACCATTATGCTATGTATTGTTCTGTACTGTGTAGAACCATTATCCTTCTGTAGGGCCAGCTGAATGACTTAAACAAAAGTTATAATTTATAACAATCTACTATTTTGGAGATTTCTGAGTTTTTTTTTTTATTTTACATAACTTTTTTTAAAGTAAATGCTTACTGGACTCTTATTCCAAGCAGCAAAAACATGTGACGGAGAAAACGGCATTTCTACTTGTTGTGTTTGTGAAGTAATACTTTGGGAATAGGGCACAGCTGTATTTGATTCAGAAAATTGTGCCGAGTTGTCTACCTGACACGTTGTTTCAGACTCAAACTGAACTGCGGAAGTGTTCTTAGCTTCTGAGCCAGTCAAGTTATAATCCATTACTTCCTCAAGTTTAAGTCCTTGCTCCGAGGTACTGCTGTCAATTTGCATGTTTATATCCGACACTTCACTTTCAACTTTATGAGCAAACATAGAAGATGTTTTCTGATTGGTCAGCGTATGAATATTCTGATGTTGTAAACTTGCTGGCGGGCAAGTTAAGGCTTCTTTTAAAAACGAATGTTCAAAATTTGATGACTTTTCATCACTTGTTTTATTTTGTTGAACATGTAAACGACTGTTCATAGACGTTGGTATGCTATTAGTTTGTTCCGTCACCATTTCTGACACTAGCGTTTCATTACCACTAAACATAGGATCAGATTCCTTCATCGCCATAGAAATGTTTTGTAGAAACTGTGTCACAACACTATCATCTTTCGTAACAGGAGGATTCTGCATCCCCATATGTCCGTTAAATAAATCTTCATTTGATAGTCGTGGCGATTTCAAACGCACAAAATCACTATCCAACTGATTGTCTTCATTGAATTCTTCAGTGTTCATTGATGTATAATTTAGATTACTTAAATCCAAATTTAACTCGTTTTTCTCCTTGTTTGAATTATTTACAGAATCTTGTTCTGAATTCCAAGTATTATTTGTATCATGGTCCTGTCCAAATGATTTCTGGTCCAATGAAAAGTTGTTGTTCCCTTCTTTCCCAAGATCTTCCTGAAGATTTTCATTGGCTGATGATTGATCAGTCTGGATCCCCTCCTTTGTACCCTGCTCCATTGGCATGAAATTGTTGGTTTCAGACATGCCAGAAATGATGCCGGGTGGAAGCTGGAACATGTCTGAGTTACTGGAGACCTGCTGAACTTGTTGAATCTGTTGGTTTAACTCCAAAGCTTCTACAATATTAAAAAGGAATTATATACATATAATACTATATATTTAAACTTTATTTATGATTAAAATCACCTTCAGGACAATGTTATTAACCTTGAAAATTAGGATATTTAGGTTCGATGAAAATTATTTTTTACATGTATGAAAAGTACAAACTGACTTAAAAAGATGATTACTCTATTGCATAACTTATTTCACAAGTTATTTTAGCATTTTTACTCAATGGCCATGTAATTTTCACTGTTTGACAATGGTTTCAAAATATTACTATAGTAACAATATAATGTCTTACCTGGGGCCACAAATGGGTAGTTTCTTTTTCTAGATTCTTCTATTGTGTCCATAACATCTTGCTTAATAACTACATTTGTTGGATCCACTGCAATACACAAACCAAATGCTTATATAAACCCTAAGACAGCACATCATTTCTATAGATGACATCCATGACATATCGGCATGATGTTCCTCATAAAAAAGATGAAAGTCACAAAAAAATGTCTAGTGTTTCATCATGTTTATCAAATGACCACAAAGGTGTTAACTGTTTAAAGACCTGCCCGCTGACAACACCCAATGCCATCAAAAAAGGCTATAACAATATCACAACTTTTTTCTTCGAAACACGGCGCTAAAATGTCATAAAAGTTGTGAGTCACTTATAAACATAAGAAACAAAACAAAATTTTGTTGTTTTCAACAGTTTCACCAAACATTTTGCTCATCAATTTGATCTGTCATTTATGCTTCCTATAGAAATATAATATCAGGTCAAAAATAACAAAAACAATACAGTAAGACTACCTCATTTTACATATATGACATGGCACTAAATAAAAAAATAAAAAAAATTTCCTAAAGCTGAAATAAAATTAAATTAAATTTGAATTACTCAATATTGATTTAGGATGATGGGACCATACTGATAGGTACAGAAATGAAAATCAAACATAAGAATTTAATTACGAGTTCCCTTTTGATAATTTAACGTGCTTGAAAGAATCACACATTGTCAGAAAAATATGCTTAGATTGAATAAGGATAAGATAACCATAGCAACAAAAACTGAGATCAGTTAGTACTGGATAAATCATAGGGAACTCAAGAAACAAACATCTTTCCCTGGACTGGAACCAATGACTTATAGAGACATTCGTCAAACATTGTATTTTCAATGTACATTATCAATTTTAAAAAAAAATTTCTATAATATCCTATAAGCATAAGTTAAGCATCACACATGTTATGATATACAGTGCAGAGAAGAATATGAACAGTTCTTCTTATTTGTTATGTAACCAGTCTGCTCGTTTAAGAAGAAACTTTTTTTTGGTGACCAGTCGATTTGAATGATAGGTAAACTTAACAAACAGAGCCATAGACAATCTTATATTGCAATAAAGAGCAGAATGTTAAACTTAAAACATTTTTAACTTATTGATATCATATCACTTATCCTCAACATGGTATGGCATGTCAATTATTCCCTTTATCTCATATGACCTTCACATAAAGTGTGACCATCAAGACATACTGCCATTTCCAGAAACTAGGTACTTGTAACTTTTTTGGTTTACTTTTATTTGCGATTATTGGGTGCAACATAAAAGCATAGATGTGTAAACAAAACTTCTTCAATAATGTTAATTCAAAGTGCACATATCATTAAAATAAATAAACTGTATGTTATAAGGATTGAGAATAATTTAAATACATCCTTTCAATACAATTCTATTTAATGATATAAATAAATGTATCATATTCTATCCCACACTTTCAAAAAGAGTCCTAGTTAATTCCTGTGACCTCGACATATATCAAATATTATGACTTGCCAGTGGACTATATCCAATCAAGTCCTAGTTAACTCCTGTGACCTTGACCTATATCAAATATAATGACCTTGCCCGTGGACTATATCCCATCAAGTCCTAGCTGATTCCTGTGACCTTGACCTATATCAAATATTATGACCTTGACAACTGACTATATCCAATCAAGCCCTAGTTGATTCCTGTGACCTTGACCTATATTAAATATAATGACCTTGAAAATGGTCTATATATGATCAAATCCTAGTTGATTCCTGTGACCTTGACCTATATCAAATATTATGACCTTGACAATGGTCTATATCATAAACATGTGACAAATACTCAGAATGAAATTATTTAAATATGCAAAAAATAACTAGGTATTTATTAAGTTTGAAAAAAAAAATCATTAATATACTGCAAGTTTAATATTAAATGGTGTTTATTTTGCTTAAAACAATTTGGCTAGTAGGGCAATTATGATCAATGGATTTTTTTTTAAATTTCTTATTGTTCATGCCTGACCATTCTCTTTTCCTCATGCAATCAACCTTTCTTTTTATTTCTATGGTTACTAGATATCTACCAGTATATAAAACATTAACAACACAATTCTTATCCATTTTCCCTTCTATGTAATAAAATGGCTATTGTCAGCATACAATCAAAAGGGCTCCTACCAGAGAAATATCATTTTTTTGCCTCACATTTTCCCCCTCTCTGTATCCTTCTTACTTTTGTAACAAATTGTGCTAAACAATTAAAAGGGTTCATCAGAATTCAACACTTTTCTATGAGCCCTTTTAATTGCTAGCTTAGTACAAGGTGTTTTATTAAACAAAATGTGTGTGTATATCAGGTCATACATTGTTATCCCTTATTTTATTCAACAACCCCATACCCCCAACATTTTTAGCCATCAAGCATCTTCCTTTAAAGCTATTTAACAATAAAGGTTTGCTTTTAAGCCACATAGTCGAGCAAAGCAAAATATAGACAAACAAGTTTTATATAATTCAAGCAAACACACAATGCCTGCAGCAGTATTTAAATCAATCCCAGGTTTTCAAATATTTTCTCAAACAATACATAATAGCTTATCAAAGTCAAAAATGTTTATTATATATATATGTGTGAAGACCTGACACACACACACACTACAAAAAATAAAACCATCCGTCTTAAGACCACATAAACGTTCACAGTCCTGTGACCTTGACCTACTTTTGTCCCTCAATTAAAAAAAAAACAAAATATCTCTAATCATATGAAAAAGATTTTACACTTTTATCACCTATTTAAATATTTTAACAAAAGTATATATACAAATGTACTTATATAATAACTAAGTTTCTATAGCAACCAAAGATTTTGAAGTTGAATATTTATGTAGTAAGACGGATGATCTACTTTTTAAACTTTCCTTTTTAAATACAGACACAGAGAACTTTCAATATCAAAACAGGGGGAAATATGAATTGTCATTAATTAGCAAATAACCTGATTTAACAGAACCCTTGTAGGACCTTGGACCGGCAGTGTGACCCTTTTCAAAGGTCAAGGTTACTATGACTCAGCATCTATTCCGCATAGCTAAAGGGGTAAATCATAATAATATTTAGTAACAATAACAGTACCCCTCCCACTCAAAAATTATGTGCTCTATGGATCAAACTTCATCTGAATACCTTGTAATGACAAAAAATTAGTTTCCTTAATCATTTCAACATCATAATACCAGTAATAATTTGAAAGTCCAAACAAATGAGCATTACAAATACACAATTCAAAAACATTACACAAATAAATTTAGAAAGAAAGTACATGTATTATTTTTAATACGTAAAAACAAGATCAAATGAAATTCTAAGGGTTATTTTAGAATGCAAAAGTTGCCCTCGGTAAAAATAATATACCTTAAACAAAAGTTTCACTTCAGTCAAATGAAATTTGCTCCATAGAAATTGCATTGGTGGATAACAAAGAAACAAAAAACTAGATTTTACGATACCTCCTTTGTTTTACAGTTGAAAATATTTCCAATCATGTAGGTTTACTTCCCTTTCGCCGTACTCATTATATTCGACGAAAAAGCCCATACAAGTTTAAAAACATAGGATGAAAAGGCATCCATTAGTTTCCCAGTTTGCCACATGTCAGTTGTTTTTATGTGCTTCCATAAATCCGCACTTTTAATTAACGTTATTAACAAAATTGCATTTTCTGTGAAATGGTTACTATCAATTCATTGCTTTAATTAGAGAATAGATTTTGATTTTGAGTGAACTGTCCTATAATATTACATGGTATGGAGTTTATATGTTCAGTATAATAATCACACAGGCTATATTCCTGAGTGATCAATTACTAGTTTTAACCTCTGAACCCTGTACTTTGTAATATTATACGACAACATGCTCAAATTTAAAATCCATTTCCCCTTGCCTTGTGAAGAAAATAAAAAATCGTAGGACATTGTTTAGCTAATCAGAGTGAAAATTTACATAAATAATCAGCCTTCTTTGTTTACAGTTGAGAAAAAACTTTGTAATGTTGGAAAAAGACATAAAACCAAAGTTCACTAGGCTGTTTACATTTAAGCTGCTCACTTTTATTACCATAATCTTAATATCACACATACTGATAATTAACAGATCCAAATTAATACTTTCAGGGGTTTACTTTTCTATTAAAGGTTATCTAGTGAAAAAAAATAAGTGTGTAATTAAATTAAAGAATCGTTTGTATGTCACAGATTATTGCAAACATTCTTTATCATAATGCTTGTAAAAATATTTTTAGTATCAGAAAGACAGTAAAATAAATCTTGTATTGAGGTAAACACCATGCATGAAATAAATTTAGCACAGCAAGAACTCCATTCCTATAAATTCAATTCTTTTTAAAGGCCCATTATGCACCAGAATTGGTTTTATTTTTCAATATTTTTATTTCCAGTGCCCTGTTATATTTTTCAAAAAGATACTCATTGGCTATTAACCTGAACCATCTTTTACTTCAGTTGCTTTATGGCAATTAGTAAAGTTGTAGTGATTTAGTATTTTTGTATGGAAGTCAAAATAATACTTTGTTAACATTTTGCTACTTTTGTGACAAATTATTTCACAATTAGCACTACTTTCTTTAAATGATAAGACTCCAATATACTCTTTAACCATTTTTAAACTTTATATATTTGCCTTTTAAATTTTTTATTTGTTTCTGAGGCATAATGTGCCTTTAATTGATCAGAATTAATTGAACAGAAAATGCAATTTCAAAATAAATGATATCAATATAAATTGTGAAATGTCTGTTCCCAAAAAAGTTAAATACCAAGCAAGAAAATGTGTTAATCTCTATGACGACTGTATGGCTGACTTCAGAGAATGAAAACTGACAAGTGTAAACCAAGACACACAAGAGCTGAAATCTAATTTTTGTATTAAAAGCATTTCAGTACTAGAATGGATGCCGGAGATTTTTGTATGTCAAACAATGTTTAACGATGGACATTCAAACCTGGCTCTAACAAACATGCGTCCAGTCTGTATTTACTGGGTTTCTTTTTCTTGGGACAAATCTATATTGCATTACACTGATGTAAGTTGTGACAAAAATAAACAAAACTTTCCCACCGAGAATTCAATTTACCTCCCCCCACCCAACATCCCAGCAGTTAAACAAATAAATCTAGTCATTTGATTATCTGACCCCCACCCACCCTTCCTATAACCAAATAAATCTAGTCAATTAATATAGTCAATGTCAATTTATAATTTTGTAGTAATTACTTTGAAGTATCAACATTCATTCAAACATTGTATTAAGAAATAAGTGCTGTTTTTGTATGTGCAGTTTTGCATGCTTGTAACTTACAAGGAAATTTAATAAAGGTCAATACTCAGACAACCCTCAAGAGATTTCTAAAATATTGAATAAAACAATTGATTTTAGTAAAGACTGTGACAAATAATATTGCCAGTAGAGGAATTCAGAGACCAAATAAAAAATTGTAACAATAAAACCAAACAAAACCAGTTCCTGACATCCATGTAACACAACAATAGATAATTTAGTATTTTGGGGGACATTATACATAACAATATAATAAAATTTGTAAAGTTGTAAACGCAAAAGTGTAACCAGAAATTGTTCGTTAAAGCCAGGTATGAGTGAATGCCTGCCCAGTCAGGTTGATGCACTGTAAACTGTGGACCAAGGGATATTTTTTGTGTAGCAATAGCTTCATGCCAAAACATTGGGCTTGTCCATTTAGCACAGAAAATCCCTATGTTTTCCATATCCCTAACAGTATGTGTTTAGGTAAAAAATTGGATGTAAGTTTCTGACACTTAATATAAGTTGAAAAATTCTAATCTCCAATCAAAACTGTATAAAATTTCTTCTTTTTGATATTCTGCAATGAGCATAATGTGCATAGGAAAATAAAAATAAAACTGTTGTTTCTTTTTCATCAGTTAAGACCAATTGAAACTCCAGTAACAGATGTTTTACCACTTCCAAACATTTTGTAAGTTTCAAATATTACTAAACAAGCACAACAATTTTTTCACAAGTTAAATTCTGGCTGTAGGACAAATACTTTAATTGAGAAAAAGAAAAAAAAAGATGCAATCAACTGACATTTTTACTCTTTAATACTGTGAGTGTATGTCATTAAAATTGACTTGTCTTAAACTTGCAACTACGGCAAGTGTATCTTTCGTGTCGGCAATAAAATGGAGGTAGTTCGAGGACTGGAGTGTCCTAGCTTTTCCTTCTATGACTGATAACATATTTGCATGCATAAAGCTTGGTTTTTTATTCACATTACCATGAGCTAACACAGACAAAAAAACACAAGATCCAACGTGAAAATGAGGTTACTGGTTGAAATATTCACCCAGTATTTTTGGTATGCCGACAGGAAAGCTAATGTACAAACAATTTTCATTTTTATTTAGTAAAAGGGTACATAAATAAACAACTTAATATGAGACACAAAATTAAAACAAAAATCTTTTCAATGATTGATACAAGCTTAAAAATGCTTGAATTGCTCAGTTGCCAACAGACAAATTTGTTTTGTTTTTTTCTCTATACAATTAAACAGCACAATTCATTTCCTTTACTAAATATAGGTTGACTGAGACCACGAAATGTTTTAAATTTTTTTTTCAATACAGGATAATTAAGTCGAAACATTACACTTGATAGAATGAGCCACTCACAGGATGAAAGAGAGCTGGCGGACAGGCTGTATGATTGTGAGACTGCAATATAATAAATCAAACTCTTACCTGGCCTATAGAAGATTGGCTGTGGATCACTCAGCTTACCCCCACTGTTAACAACTACCTGACATTCTACCTTCTGTCCCATAAATGACTTGCCCGTATACTCTGGTACTGTCACTATCATGTGAGTCTATCAAGAAAGAGCACAGAAAATAAAGAGAGTCAGTTTTATTTGAAGCAGAAAGTTAGGATCACCGGCTAATATATATCAATTCTTTTGGATAGAATTTATGTTATAAGTGCTTTATTTAACTCTATTTAACATAAATTAGATATTTAAACAAAAGGTTTACACTTTTTCCTTTATATTATGCCAACAAGCTGAATAAAATACAGCGATGTTGCTTGCATATGAAAGATTTCAGCAAACACAACAAATGACTGTTCTATCTCATTTAAACGCCACTTGACTATTATCAGTGCTAGATAATGTTGGGACCAATAAAGAGGATGATTTCATATGAAAAACTCTACATAGCTATGAGTCCTGGTTAGTGACAGTTTTTTTTAGTTCACAGATGTATATATTTCATTCAAAATCTATGCTAGTGTTATGGGTCATGGAGAATGACCCCTAATCATATTGTGTTGACAACCTAGTGATGGCCTTCAGTAATTTTGAAGACAGGAGTTGCATGCAAAACTGTATCCAGGAAAATTCTGGTTTCACAAAGGGCCGTAATTCAGTAAAAATCCATGCTACAGTTATGGACCTTGGACAGTGACCTATCATTAAGTCAAAGCAGTTGCATGCAAATATTGTCAAAACTTGATAAGATATAAAGCTGTTCAAGAGGTTGCATGTGAAATTTAATCAAAGTGTTACGCTTAGACCAACACCTAAGTGAGATAGCTTGTCTATTCTTCAAATCATCAAGCAAAAAATCCTACACAATCAGTAAACTCTCCAAGTAAAGCAACTAGTAGATAGAAAATATCTTGATTATTTTTAAAAGTAATCAAACACGATACCGTCTGAAAATAATCTTTGTCTATATCTCCTTCCTTCTGCCAAACCACCACACTGGTATCATCTTCACTGACTTGCTGAAACAGAATATGTGTTCCCCGCAGAAAATTCTTTCCGATGATGAATAACTCTTCCCCACCTGTAATCAAGCACTCACTTAAACTCATCTTACATATCTCTGGCTGACCGACCGGCTGCGCTGAAAATGCACAAAGATATAAGATAAATCAATTATTTGCTTAAGATAAAAAAATTATTAATGCATGCAAGCAAAGACAATTTCGCCTGAAAATTTATGATATTTGTTAACATAAAGAAATATTATAACTCATTATTGATACTTCACAAGTTAGATTAAGTTACATCTATCACTAGTAAAAGCTCCAAGTATATGGTATATGTTACAATGAATTAATTAAGAATTTAAGATTAACATTTAACATTTTAGCTTACCGTTTAACACCACTGAAAGTACAAAGATTGCCTAACAATGTAACCTCTGACGTAGATCTGTAACATTTTATTATCAACATACAATTTTTATACCCTTAGTATTTAAACTATAATGTATGCAGATTTTCTTCTGTTGACATTAAGTTGAGATGAAATGAGCAGAAAACTGAGTTCTTATGATTAACAGTAAATACTCAAAAATGATATTTCAAGCCATAATAAATGCCCCCAAAGTGTGAGCGTTTTCAGTAATTCAAGACCTATAAATAAAGATAAAGAAAGTAAAATAATAGAAAAAGTTCCTGCTGACACTATGAAAGTTATATATATGTAATGATGTTTAAGTTTCAAACATTGGAGACTGCCTGTACATGTAAGCGTATTATTTCAGGTACAGACTTGGAAATGAGTAGATCCAATGATTTTCCATAACCTGGCTAGATATCTTCCTCACATGAAAGAAGAATTTCTAAAAGAAGTCCTATGATAATAAATGTCAGTTACCTTAACACCCGTGCAATGGAAGCCACTTCAACGAGGTTTGTACACATACAGAAAATAGCTTTAGGACTAACATGCTCAGCAAGGATATAAAATATCTAAAACCACTTGTCTGGGATAAACATGCACAAAATCAATGCTGAAATGCAATTTTTTTATTGCACAATGTTAGTAACAAACATGATATAAAAACTTGTTAGTTAAAAAATGTAAGTAAATTACTCAAAGTATCAAGACAAACAACATACTACAAAGGATGGTGGATGATGCCACTTGAAGAACCTGTGGGTTCCCACATGGTTTCTGAAACGTCACACGGAATATCATCCGAGCTTTCGTACTTTTCTTCTTCGCTTTAGCAATTCCTATCCTCTGTTCAACGTCTGCATTCCTCAGTTTAAGAATTCCTACACAGTCAACCCTGTAAATTAAACCAATTTTAAGACTAGAATAACTTCTATGTTTGGACATTAAATTATTAAACATCTCTGTTACAAAGAAATACATTACCTGTTGCAGAAATTTCTCCCTTTAAGTTACTGTCCATAACATGTGCATTTCCTAAAATCAAAATTATGACTTCTTCCAGTCAGAAGTGAGAAACTCCAAACTGGTTCCTTCAATTTTCATGTTACAAGAGGATATTTCAGAAACTTTTGTCAATCCACAGAAATCCTTGCCAAATCTTAATATAAACAAGCATTCTTGTTATATCCAAGTACTTTTTTTTTAATCCTAAATTTCAAAATTTCGCCATTTTGTAAAACTTCAAAAATTAAGACATTTTGTAATAACATTTCCAAATTTTGAGTAACAGCGCTCGTAGAACTGGTTCATAAATTTCCCTTTTACACCAAAAATGTCAACCAATGCCCCTAGTTGATTTACATAAATAACAAGCTTTCAAGCTGCCTGAAATGGACAATGTCATAAGTTATTATGTCCTTTACATTGTCAACTGAATGATAAGAGCTACCGTGGTGAAAACAAATTAAACATGGAGAGTGCCTCCGTCTACAATATTGGCTAAGCTTTGGCAACAAGATCAAACTGTGCCATCAAACATTACCATGAATTCTGATCCCTGAAAATTCAGCTAAATTTAATGTATTTTTGATCATAGCTCACCATGAACAAGCAGGTCAAATCTAATAGCTAAAAATTTGAAAAAGTGTGTGCTACAATGTATTCAATGCATATATCCTTGTAGTAATACAATATTTATAGAGTAAATGATATACACATACGATGCTGTCATGTCATTGGCAGAAGTCAGTTCTATTTCAATGACAGTGGTGCCATCTATGTCTTTCTCCGTACACATGGTGGAGTTCTTCCCACAAACTTTACATGCCTGGTAAAAACCATGCGGCCGCACACGTCCACTATCATTTCCAATAAATATTTGTAGAGTTGCTTCCCCTGAATAACCAAAGAGCTGAAAATGGGAAAAAAAATCATATATAATTATTTGTTCTTTGTGGCATAAATATATTCAAGTTTTGAAAGGTTACGATGTGAAATTGCAAATTATGTCACAAAACAATCAATTTCATTTACTTATTATGACTTCTCTTGGTTTCTTCAGGATCACTGGATTAATGGACTTGTTAGTCTGGCCCTAGAGTTTACTAGTACTGACAGTAACACTTACAGCATATTTTGAATCATATTTTGATATGACTTATACCTATACTATTCTTACAAAGTTTTGCAAATTTTGCTGTATACCTTGATTTGTGGATAAGCAGACCCACTCCTGTTTTTCACGGACCCACGACTTCCCTCTGTCAGATATCGTGCTCTATGTTGCTCCTCTGGCTGCTGTAGTATGCGTAACTCATAGCCGTGTATCTTAGCCGGGAACGCCTGACTTAAGATAGGTTCTTTTGCTCTTCTTAAACGTTCTCTTTGCTGTTTAACCTGTAAAAATTAAACAGAATCTTCATCCATCTTTTATCCTTATATAATATTATATTATTATACTTGTTGGCGACGCCGGTGAGCGGCGTCGTCTATTATGGAATGCTTTTTATTTTTGCCTACGGAAGGAGCTGTTATTATTAGCAGTTAATTTCATGTTGCGTTAATTAGTTTTATTTTGATTCGTAAAAATCAAGTAAACAAATGTGTTGTTATATTTGTATTTAATAACTTTATGTAAAAAGCATGTGCATTGCGATATTATTTTCACGAAATTGCAGGTTAAGTTTAACAGCTTGTCCCTTAGTTTACAATACTAAAACCCAGATTTCGAATATCGTTGTGGTCTAGATTGAGGCCGTATCAGTTCATTTATTCATTTATACATTTTCAAAATTTTCATACAAGAAGAAAGTTCACATGCAATTGAGTATAAGGATAGGTAATGGAACTGTTGTAAACGATTATCCTATTGATTTTATCCTTATTACATTTATCTGTTGCGCAGAATGGTTGTTTTCACAAAGTGTACCAGTATCCGGATGTTGAAAGTTATCCGATTTTCTGCAATTACTGCTGTCACATGGCCATCTATTTTTTATGAATACTTTACCATTATTTGCATGGCTTAATAAAACTGAGCATGCAGCATTTCATAATTTTGCTGTTTAGGGTGTTCTTTTCTCTATATTAAAGGGAAGTAACTCATGTTTACTAAATTATTTGTTCTTTTCTGTCTATCTTAGGTATTACTTATAATACTATTTTTATTGTATATAATTCACCAGTTGTAAGGTCATCAAAAGCATGTTAATGTTAATGTTAGGATTTCATATTCATTTAATATAAACTTGGAATTATTAATGTTATGTGCATACATGTATATCTTAGACAGTAGTATATTGATATGTTGAGACTTATAATTTTTCTGCATTTAAAGAGATACAGTTATGTCATTATTATTAAAGGGATGAGACTTTCATTTAAAGTTATAAATGATAACACATGTATTGATTGAAAATGTCCTTAAACTTGAATCAAGCAATATAATTAATAAAGTCTCAAAATCATATTCTGAATAGTTATTCTATTTTTTTCTAACATGTGCATAGTTTGAAAATGACAGCTTCTGTCTTATCTATTTGTAATGAAGGGACACCGGTCTCAACCTCCAGGTCTCCTGAGTCAACCCGACAACAGACTGTACATAGAGTAGATTGTTACTTGCCCTTGAATAAATGTGTGCACTAAATTTATAGTGGGTGATTTGTGCCACATGAAAACCAACATAGTACAAAAAGTAACCGGGCGCCAGATGAAAACATGAAAATAAAATCTACCACAAAGTGGTTGGTTTGTTGCATTTTCATAATTTTGCTCGATGCCCTTGACACGAAATTCAAATCAGCCTTCATAAAATTTCTTATGTTGGTCACAGGTTTGAGTTCTGGTCAAGCTCAAAGTTTTTCTCATCCTGTGACTGCATATAAGCATGAGTTCAATTTCCTATGCTCAGTAACATAAGAAATTCATGGACACAAATCGATATAGTGGGGAAATATGCTGTGGTTTAGAACTGTTTCATTATTAAAGAGAAAATGTGTAGCCGGCCGGATAGCTCAGTTGGTCTTCTGAAAGTCATGGGTTCGAGTCATGGTCAGGCAGTTTCAGTCAGGGTTTAGAAGTGGTTTTTCAATTGACACATGTTTGATTCATTTAACAGATTGCATTATTTGAAATGGACAAAGGCAGTATTGCATGATACTTTTAGATCTACAAAGGGCATTTGATACAGTTGAACACACTATACTGCACATGAAGAAGTTCTTATTCTTCTTCTTCATGAAACTTCAAGCATCTGCCATATATAATGACAGTTTAAGTCTTATCTCTGATAGACCGCAGCTGGTGGATGTGGCTGGTACTCATTCTACTACTGCTCTGAGTAACTATGGTGTCCCCCTGATCTTCATTTTAAGTCCTCTTTTATGTCTAATTTATGTCAATGACATGTCTTCAGAAAAAATATGGCCAGATTGATAAAAAACCTGTGTTCATCTTAAAAGTGTCAACAACCAAAATAAAATGTAAATAATGACCCCTTTAAAAATATACTTCAAGTTGATAGTATATTTCTACAGGGGATCATTATTTACATTTTTATTTTTTTTTTGGTTTTATAAACACAGTTTTTTTACCAATCTGGTCATCTGGTCATATTTTTTCTTCCCAGGTCCGATACTCGTGCCTGTGATTATATGCTGATGACTCAGGAATCCTTGTGTCTCGTAAAATAAATCTGAATAAATTCTTTCTTATAGCATGAGTCTTATAAGATTTCTTTATTGACTTTAAATTGTCTTTGCATCTTGGCAAGACAGAGTCTATTCTTATTTGGTTTAAGTTTCAACTTAAACTGGCCCTTGCCTCCAGGTCACATGTAATGGTACTGCTATAAAGTTCACATCTTTTGTTAAGTATTTAGGTGCAAATCTGGATCAAATTCTTTTGGCGTCGCCCTTTGATGCTTTGCATCAATGCTTTTCTTGTAATTGTATTGTTTGACGACACAATAATGTAGAATCATGTTATGGATGAGGAGTGAAATGCTCAAATCTAGAAATTAAAATTCATGTTCCGTTCTGTTCTTATAAGTTACATAACTTTTGTATAAAACCATAAGAAAGTGCATGCAGGTAGTACAAAAAACCATGACAGGCCTTTTTTATAAATTGGCCAGCTGAACCAGACCTTTGACAATTACATGTTGGTTATTAAAACCTTGATCATTTACCAACAAGCTATAAATAAGCAATATCAAGTGGAATGTTTTACACCACTTAAATAATTGTAAGACTGTTACAAAACTTATGTGTAGATGTAACATGTAAGCTGTCTGTAAAAAAAAAAACATCCTAAGCAATTACAGACAAGCTGGAATAAAACCCTGTGTAAATTAAATCTGGCTTTTATAGAAATTTTGGCAAAAAGTGAGATCTGAAATAAAAATCAAGTTGTGATAAAACCTTGATTCTAACACTATCGGATTTTTTTTCTATATAAACAAAGAAGGCCCGAAGCGTGCATTATTCTTCAACAATGCACTCGCCGTTCTTATTACCTCCCTGTGTATTTTCACATTGAGGGCGCCATTTTGTTTAAAAAAATCTGATAAATAAAAACATTTTTTGTCGAATTTTGTTGTGAAAGCTATCTAGAATGAAAGAAAATGGTCTAACTAAGAAAATGAATCCGAACACCAATATCTTTAATTCAGTCGTTAACGCTGTACAGACGTTTTAAGTGTTGTTTACGTGACGTCACAATGTAGCGCCAAACAGCATGTGCAAAACAATCAAATCAAGTACGCTATTCTAATGTCACAAACGAGTTAAGTTTTACATTTATTTCAATTATTACAATTCAACTTATGATTATTTATAAATAACAAAGCATTAGCTGCATTAGAATAAAGAAATGTTTGGATTTCTGATTCATTTTTAAAAAGAATAGGTATCAAGGAAAATGTCAGGAGCTTTGCACTTGAAACTAAGTATGTTAGTACGCTAAACTTAAATGCACTAGATGGCCTTGAAACCCATTTAACTGACTTACAAATATGATAAGATTTTGTTAATGTACTGTATTTTAAACATAAATTCAACGTATTGCACACATTTGATTTCTTTTTTTATTGTATCAGTCAAGATTTAAACATTTTATCTTGCCACTGTTATCTAATATATCCCCCGTTATCTGCAAGGATAATGATATTGAATAATTTTATACAACTATCAGAAACCTTGTCATGAAATAGAACTTGATTCAATTAAGACCAAATAATAATATAATACAGATGTGATCAGCTGTATTAATACATCATACATTTATACAAAATCATCATCAACAAGTATTATTTTACAAATAAAGTCACACAAATATTTCATATAAAATAGAAGCTTTAAATTGACTTACAACATTATGTGGAATAGATTGTGGTGTTTTGAATGGCTGCTCCACTGCTGTAGACATAGGAGGCGAATTCTGACTGTAAAGAAAAATCAATACAGCAATTAATAACCAGACAATTCAAATATTCTTCCTGGAGAAACTTACATAAGCTTTCCCTGTAAATTACAAATTAATAAATCTTAAATACCAAAGTATTGTTTATATTTAAAGAAATTTGTCTAAGTACTGATCACCTCTTTAAAGTAGGTCACATACGACTACCGTAAAACAAAATTTTTATAGTTATTAAAGATGTATTTCAATTTTAGTCTACTAGATGATAACAAATGGAACTACTGTTTCATGCTTTTATCATTTTTAAGCAACATTCAGTCATTCACATTACTTAATACTATTGCTGAGTTATCTTACATTCATATTATTAGTTATTTTAAACAATATTTTATTTATAAACATTTCATTTACATGATAATTGACAAATAATTAATTGTACGGATTGAGCAGGAAGCTTGAAAAGCTTTTTTAGAAACTCGCTCCGTCATATTATTAGTTATAAAGATTTTTAAAAGGTTATATGGCCCATTTAATCATTTAAGAATCTGAATTTAATTCAGCAAACTTCCTTTTTCAAAGAAAAACATGATTTTTTTTTCTAAATTTGACAGCAGCCATGTATACAAAACTATATAAAAAATCATGATTTTCCAAAGAAAAGGGACGTTACAAACATGCAGTATTATTAAGTTGGTATGACCACACATATTTATACTGGCAGCAAACTTAACCATCATGTGAGGGAGGACCAAGTACATGTTGCATTTTCATGTCTTTGATATGATTCAAGGCAAGATTCAGACAATATTTGAGCCGTGTCACGACAAAACCAACATAATGGCTTTACGACCAGCATGGATCCAGACCAGCCTGCGTATCCGCGCAGTCTGATCAGGATCCATGCTGTTCGCTTACAAACCCTATTACAAGTAGAGAAACTGATAGCAAACAGCATGGATCCTGATCAGACTGCGCGGATGCGCAAGCTAGTCTGGATCCATGCTGGTCGCAAACGCATAAAGTTGGTTTTGTCGTGACGCGGCTCATTTCTCCTATGACAGAGTCATTAGAGGCAGACAGTCATTATACCACAAAATCCACAGCTGTGGTCTTAACAGGGTAGAATCATAAACACTCTGTAAGCTACAACATAGCTTGATAGTGGCACCACAAAATCGGGATTCCCTGCCCACTTCAAATCGCTTGCCCTTTACCGCTGCAGGTTAAAAACTCCTACTATGTCTAATACTTAATAGGATGAGGCAAATTAATAATCTAAAATATTATGTAATACAACTTGTTTTGTTATGGTCATACAAAATGTATTAACTTGTTTATGTGGCATGTTCTGAATCATTCCAGAAACATTATACGACTATCCTACAAAGCAATTATCAATGTGGTATTATGCTATTTCTAGTATATAAGATATGGAGAGAAAGGTCTTAATATACATCAACCTATGTTAACAACATCGAGTAGGTACTTTAAGATTTATAGTATCAATATTATAAGATAAGTCAAGTAAGATTACCTTGGAGATACTTCACCGGTTCCCGACACAATTCCAGGAAACACACTAATTGGATTTGTCTCCGACTCTCCTTGCCCAAATAACTGGAAAGTAAAATCTGACGGAACCTCCTGCTGTGCACCCTCTGCGCTAAAAACATTATCTACACTTGGGGATAAAGCTGATGAAGCATCAGAATCATGTGGCAATCTCGGCACTTTGCAAGTTTTTACGCGATCAAGATTTTCATCAAGTTTTGTAACATCCCATTCACAGGCCATATCATATTTAACTTCACTCTCAATCATTGAATCTAACTGTAAATTATTAGTATGTGTAATCAGACTTGATTGAGTTGTTGTGTCCGAGACATTCACTGTTTTTGTGAGATTTTTCAACCCAGCGGTATCAGTTTCCATGTAAGAAGTTACATCAGTGTTCTCACCAAATGGACTTAAGTTCGACTCCCCATACGGACTGTTTGCAGATGAAGTTGGTGATGACTTTGAATAATCTGCAGGACTAGAAACTGTAAAGCTACCTGATGGGATAGTCACATGTAATCCTCGATCACTTATATTTTCCCCAGAAAGAAGTCTCTGAAGCACACCATTTTTTTCAATACTGTAGTCTTGGGATTGCTGATTATGAGAGTTTAAGTCTTCAAATGACGGCATTTCAGAACCGTTCAGTATAGAGTTATGCTCTGCATTTCCATGTATTCCTTCAACAGCTGTTTTTGATTTGAGAGAATTAACTAACCCATTTATCAGAGGTGTATTAACACCATTAAAGTTTGTTGGAGTGGTATTCATCTCCTGTAACCCTTGTATAACATACTGGGCATTCTGTTGTTGATCATGCTGCTGTGCAAGTCCATTCTGTTTCTTGTTTATCATCTGCACAAAAGGGTCTCCTTTAAAGCTCTGTAAATCATGTGGTAATGTACTCTCCATAGCTAAAATGTCAAAAGATTAAAAATATTTAGACTTTGCTAATTTCAATCAAAATTGAGGTTGATATATCTTAATATTAAAAATTATCATCAAGTCTATTATTTTTTAAAAGATTATTAAGGACACCTGTAAAAACATTATTCTGGGTTAAATGCAAGTATATTATGATTATTTAATTTCATATATAAACAAGCAATTATCATAGTATTGCAAGCAATCCATAAGTCCCCTACCGTTTAGAACCCCAGCAACATTCTGATGGGCCATTGGTCATTCAATTTTACCAGTGAATGAATGACATGAATGAACTTAAATCTTTTGAGTTCTAAGTTTGTCTATATCACAGTAATGTGTTAAGTTTCCATACCTAGTAAGGAAATTATGTTTATACAACCTTGTCATTATTACGATATGGGATTTTGAAGTAAATCCTTTAAGGAATGAAGAAGTTGGAGTGAAAAATACCAATTTCTCGAAAAAAATCTAAGTTCAAGGGGGACATAATTCTGGAAATAGTCTTGCTAGAGTATTTAACCTTCTCAAAAATGTTGAGTGATAATAAGAAACATATATATGAAGTTTGAAGTAGATACATTAGGAAATAAAGAAGTTATTTAAAAAAGACAACATTTTTTTTCATAAAAATTCTAAGTTCAAGGGAGGTAATACTGATAATTTTTGTGCTAGAGTTGTAAACCTTGTCACATATGATGTGGTTGATGACCAGAAACTTATATTTAAAGTTTGAAGTAAACACCTTAAGAAATAAAGAACTTATAGTGAAAAAGCTGAAAAATTTAAATCAGAAATCTTGAAATTCAGGCTATTTGTTGCCATAGCAACCAGAATTTTCAACATAGGAAGAAAAGAAAAAGATGTGCATAATCTCCAGACTGCCATCTACCCATATTTCAAGTTTCATAAAAATATTTTCAGTACTTTTTGAGTTATCACTGGATCCAGTTTATGTGTTAAATTTGCCATATTTTCAGACTATTTGTTGCCATAGCAACCAGAATTTTCAACATAGGAAGAAAAAAAAAAGACGTGCATAATTTCCATACCGCCATCTATCCATATATCAAGTTTCATAAAAATATTTTCAGTACTTTTCAAGTTATCGCGGGATCCAGTTTTGTGGACGGACTGACTGACGGACGGACGGACAGACGGTAAACCTAAAGTCCCCTCCGGTTAAACCGGTAGGGGACTTATAATACTTAAAATAATGTAAAACAGCAGACTTACTGTGTGTTGAATCTATACTGTTAGCCAGTATTTGTTGGTGACCAGCATTCTGACTGGCAATTACAATTGTCTTTAATATTTCTGCTGCAGATGATTCTGTCACACCTAAAACATGAAAGTTTCTAATTAAGAAATACATAATCAATAGAACTAAAAAGGGCATTTCAAATAAAATTTTGGTGCAGTTTAAAGCCATATGCTGACTTTCCAGTTAGAGGTGGAGGATGATAAATATTTTTTTTTAATCATTATTTTAACCACTAAAGATAGTTACAATATCTCTGGTGAGATGGTACAAGAGTGGTATGGCCTCTGCACATCACCGTGTTGCGATGAATATTTAAGCAAAGTTTTGACAAGATATGTAGGATTATTTAGATGAACACAGTAAAATTGGGTCCCTTATATCTAACCGTCAAGTGTGAACTTGACCTTAAACTAACACATGCGTGGTATGGGTTCTGCACATCATCCTGTTGAGGTACATGTAGACATTTAAGCCATGTTTGATGAAAATTTTCAAGGAGTGTAGGATTTATGGAATAGGCACAGCTGACACCAACTATCTGATGGTCCGATACAACAAAGTGATTTTACTTTGAGAATAGCTCCCTCTCCACATTTATGTCATTGTGGTGAGGATACAATAACAAAGAAAACAGATGAGATCAAGCTTAATACAGAGATTGGAATTTTGTAAACATGATATAAGTTGACATTTATAGAGATTTAGATCTACTGCTGTGTGAATCATAGCTAAAATTTCCAGCACCTGATAATGACCAACAACACATTGTTGATTTTCTTTGTCGCTTAAAAATTTTAATGCATTAAAGATAATTCATTCCATTAACATCTGTTGTTCTTATTTCTTTTCTATGAGTAGTATACCAATATATTTATATTTGGATAAAATCAAATATGAAAAGACTATATCCTCTGAAATCTTAAAATGAATTCAAATCATTTCTGAGAGATATGTTTCTTAAAACTATTAAGTACACTACCTAAAGCTGAATCAATTTTTCTGACATTAAGGGGAATATTTTTTGAAAAGGGATTGAAGTGCTATAGTAAAGTTCTACAATGTAAACGCACGGAAAAAGTATTTTTTACCATTTAAAATGCAAATTCTTACTTCCCTTTGTTTAAATGAAACTGCCCGATACATCACCGTGTGATCATCGATTGCTAATAAGATTTTCAATACCCAAAACTACTCATTTAAAACTTCTTTCCAGACAGAATTTATTTTCCAACACCTCTATTATTTATATAATTTTTGTAAAAATTATTGTAAAATATCTGCCAGATGTTAAGCATATTCATTTGTCATTTTCATTAACTACTTAACTCTGTAGTTTGCCAATATACACACTGTGACCATTATATTTATCATTAATGACTATTCAGAATAATTATCAATCACCTTTATTTTTTATTTATCATTAATTTTATGTCCTCTATTTATTCAGTATATCATATATCACCTTCATTTTGGCTTGCCTAATAATCACATCAAGATTTTTTTTCTCAGAATGCTCTATTTTTTATATATGTCATCCAATTTATTAAATAACCTCAGCATCATCACAAAGAAAATACATTTAACATTAACTAACCTGTAATCTCTTTATTCCCATCACCATGGAGGTTCACAGACTTCCCTTGTTCTCCAACATTGTTTTCTTGTGCACTGGGTGACAGGCCTTGTTTTTTCTCTGTACATTTCAAATGATTCTCTGTTGACATTTCTGTAAATGTAAATATGTAGATTTAAATGTCAGCATAATAAACTTTAACTGGTACTTCATTACATTATAAATAACAATTCGTTTTTCAGTAATAGTATAATTAAAGTATTATGTTTTTATGCACATATTGCAGAAATCTAAATCTTTTTAGTTTTACATTCAAAATGTATAATTTTCAGTTAATCACAAGTAGGCATTAAAGATTAATAAATAAACATCCCGATCAAATTTAAGAACTGTAAGTTAATGCAATCTCCAGTTGGGTAGGGACAAGCAATGCAATAACTTATGTAATTGTCACATGTCCAAAATGAATATTCACTCAGCACAATACTTAATAATTCAAACTTGTTTCAGTTGTTCATAATACATAAAAAAATCAGTACTTAGTATTTAATAATTGAACGATAATGGATTTATACCACAGGTTTAAACAAGTGACAGTTATAATCATAAGATAATATGATGTGATTCTCTATCAAACAGGATATAAATTATTTATTTAGTAATATATATAAACAATTAAGTTCCTTGTAAGTTTAATAAAGACCAGGGCAATTTCTAGCTATATATAGGGAAAAGGCCTCTGCTGAAAGGTTGTGCCGCACAAAGAAGAGCAGCTGTAATTGTTTCAGTCCAATTCATATCAACTGTACATGTATATTGATATAGGATGAATTATACATGGATATTTTATTTGTTATTTCACTTTGAGTGTCTTACTTGCTTTCATGATTTCAGTAAAATACATTTAAAAATGATTTTCTGTAAACAAAATCATTACGTAGAATATTTATAAAAGCCCTTAGCATTATAATTTTGTCTGCTCACGTTTTGTCATTACTACCATGAAATAAATAAATTAAGAAAACTGTGGATAAACTGTTTCAATTTATTTAAAAGATGGAATCTCAAGCTTAAATAGCATGGTCATCTTCAGTCTTTTTACTGAACATCCCATTTACCTCAACTAAACCAAAATATTCCTAGCAAAACTTTTGTTTCAAAGTTTTCTTTCTTACCACAATTTTGATGATGCAATTAGACATTTTATGTGTTTCCAAGATACAGGCACAAACTAAGCTAAAAATATTTGTAGCTACATACATGAATGGTAACAGTTATTATTTTAACATTATGTTTTAAAGTTGCCTTTATTAGTAAGAATTCAGCATCCAGAGTGAAGTCCTCCATTAAGTCACAAAGGCTTTTTTAGACAAGTGGAGAATATTTGTTATTTCTTGACATTTAAAATTAATTTAAAAAAAATCCATATAGATACATGTAATTATTTGACAAAAAAGCATTGTTTGAAAATCTACCTTTCATTTGCAGTGATTTTTCAACTTATGTAACACGAGCCTATAAAAGGCCTCTTCCCTGTAGAAGTTTTCTTTAAAATCATGCAGTTTTCTCAAAAATCTGTATTTGTAACTGCTTTTTTACTTCCCATATTAGCAATTTTAACACTAATTCTTCCATAAAATCTTCCCAATTAAGTATGAAAAAACTACTGATATGACAAAAGTTTAAATGATTTGTCTTAGAATTACAATAGTACAATTCACTTAAAGGAGATGTGTAAGCAGTTAGGAAACTCAGTCAGTAGAGTTGTGGGATGGTTTTCCAAGAGTCCGGGGTTCAAGTCTTGGTCAGGCTGCACATTTTTCCTATCATAAAAAATCAATCCCAATCTTCGAAATTAACATTTTGAGGTTACTAGCCATTCGGGCCAGTAACATTTGAGAAGTTACTTGCCCAAAACCAACTTTATTAGCCAGAATAAATTTTTCAAATTTTGATGTTTTTTTCTTATCTTTAATGCTGAAGGTAAATAAAGAAACAAAAAGAAATCCAATACAAGTCTTGTGTCATAATTTATTTTATTGTTATTTCATGCTGTACATGAAAATAATTTTTCATGGTTACTATGATATGATACTTGACAATGGAAAACGGAACATAAACAAAGTTGGTTCCCAATAAATTACTCACTTTACATGGCTAACGGAAGTAAGCCAAGAAACAGTAGTGACCTGGCAAAAAGTGCGCGCCTGAACACCACTATAATGAATTTCATGATCGGAAACTTTACTTGCCAGGTGGGCAACAAAATTGGATTTTTTAATTGCCTGAATTTTATATTTACCCGCCAGGGCGATCGGGCAAGTGCTAATTTCGAAGACTGCAATCTTCACACGGACCGACATACATGAGACAAATGAAATGGGCCAAATCTGGATTTTCAGCTGGATTTTGAGGCTCAAAACTGGATTTTTTTATCAACTCGAATTTCAATGCGTGTTTGGCACATTTGGTTCAAAGAATCTATATTACCCTCAAAATCATTAAATGATTATACTTTTTATGATTTTTTGTTGATCAATATTAATTCAAATTTCCCCAAAAAAAAAAAAAAAATAGATAAATAAATAAGTTGGTAGTCATACAGGCCTAATTCTAAAACAGTCCACACTTTCACATTTCATTATTTTCAGTTTTGAAGAATTTATTATGTCCTTTCAGTCATTCAATAATTTAAACACAAGCTATTTGAAAACGTGCAACAACTATTTCATGAACATAAGACTATGATAAGTTTAAATAACCGTAACATAAGTCACGACATGCAAAATCGTTCCGTTAATTAAATCCACATTTTTTTGCCTCGATGATTGTGGTAATTCCTAAACAAAACAAAAAATTACCCACCTCACCTAAAAATAGGGTTAATTAGACATCTGAAACAGCGTTTGAATGATCCACTTTAAATGATTCTGCTCACCTTTTATCTTTAATGCAGTGCGGCAACTAAATCAAAGAAAATCAAAGGTTTGAAGCTCGAATTCAATACATGTAAATTTACAGGGTAGTTTTGTTGATGACGTAGCGTGGTAATACCTCTACTGCCCAAATTAAAAAGAGGTCAATTACTGACACACGACAACGGTGATAAGTTAACATGTGAGAATAACTTTGGGTATTGAACTGTTTTATTACGTGCACCTGCCTGTATTAGCGACTCAACATTTAATTCCGTTAATTTAGGATATGGAACAGATAACTTTACTTGCCAGGTGGGCAACAAAATTGGATTTTTTAATTGCCTGAATTTTATATTTACCCGCCAGGGCGATCGGGCAAGTGCTAATTTCGAAGACTGCAATCTTCACACGGACCAATGTCATGAATGTATCATTGCCATCTCACATTACCAAAAGCTATGCATTTTATTTTACAGAACAATGTAAATACTCACATTATTGCAACTTAGTTCTTTTTTATCTTCAATTACAAGGTCACTGTAACTGTAACACCAGTCAATGACCTACTCATATCTACTTACAAGTATCTGACTTAGTTAGTTCTCATTCAATGCAAACAACTATTTATATGTTAAAAAAATGTAAATCTACATATATATTAAATATATTAATGTAGAGCTATTTAGAAATCAATTTAAGGTTTAATTACAATTTCCATGACACTCTAGCTTTGAATGACACACATTCAAAATCTTACTTTTTTCATGAATTTTTTAATAACAATTCTTGTAAGCAAGATTCTGTATCTTATTTGATAATGAAGTGTGTGTGTATACACTCGAGAAAACCGTAGCAACAGACATAATTTGGATCTTGAGATGTCAACATGTTTCGCAAAATTTGCAGACAATGAAAAGAAAGTCGGTCAGGCGTGACACCTCTCCGCCATCTTGAAAACAGACTGATTCTTACCTTGTTGTTTAAAATTAATCTACGTAAACAAAAGGGATTATCATCAAATCTATTACTTAGTTTAATTCATAAAAACATTATTTTATTGTCAGTCAAAAATATATGTATTGCCACACTTAATATAAATATTTTTTTGCTAATATAATCTGAGCGCTGTAAATCTGTCGTCTAGCCAAAATGAGAACATAATTTATCCACATACTTTAGTGAGGTTAACCCCGATTGGTGCAATGTAAAACCTGCAAGACTGCGTCACTGTATGATTGAAAGCCGAAGTAAAGTTTATCAAATAAAGAGCGATCCAGTCCAAAATACCCACCAATGAAAATGCACGTAACAAATGTAAACACAATTGGCTGTGACGACTGGGAAAACCCTATTTTTTCCACAAATTGGTAAATATGTTCTATTTATGTATATGCAGGGCTATAATTCATAAAAGACTCTTGTAAATCTACTAAGGTAAAGTCGCTTGACTGACTCCGTGAGAACGTGTGTAGGGGCAAGGGACCTAAAAATGAAAAATATTTGTAGTAACGAAATTACGAATTAAATCTTAGATTTTACACAGGCAGATAACCAGTTGCACAGAATTATTCAAGGATATTTGACATACATTGAAGAAAGTAATAGTTTATAATCCATCGCACCAAAAAATAATGACTGACAGCATTCCTATACAATTTTCATTTTTTTCGTTTGTTACAAATGTAAGGGAATAGATTACTGTTAACGAAAAAAAGAACTGTCAATGTCATTAGGTTTATCTTTGGTTTTCATAAAATATTTAATGTTGAAGCCCAGCAAACAAAAGACGTTGCACCAACGTTGTACTGACGTTAGACCCTGACGTTGGGTTAACGTTGGCAGAAGGTTGGATTTGAAAGTTTTTTAGACGTCAGAAACCGACGTCTATACAACGTCATAAGATGACCTTTATCCAACCTTTTCTGACCATTATCTGACCGTAATCCAACCTTTTCTGACCATTATTTGGACATAATCCAACCATTATCTGACCATAATCCAACCTTTTCTGACCATTATCTGACCATATGCCAACCTTATCTGACCAAATTTTCTGACCATGATTTAACCTCATTTAAAACTTTTGGAATATGATTTTTTTTCATTTTGAAGCTCTTTAATAGGGTTAATAAATAAGCATTCTTATGATTTTAGGAATTTATTTTATACTCAGAATTACAAGTACAAAACAAGAAATGTAGTACTATAACAAATGCAAGATTTACATAATATTTTTTGAAACTATTAAACTTGACGGTATGTACTTTAATAACGCTTCATGTATTAATTAAGCATGTTTTAGAAATAAGATAAACAAAATCCTTGAATATTAACACTGACATTTTATATAGCAAACATCCATGCATGTGTTTTTTCTTATATCACCACTGAACTGATCACTCTGAGTTTGGGATTTTTCAATCATCTATCCAACTCACTGATTGTATATTTGTCTTTGTATTTTATAACTGAATCTAGATCTGAATGTTAAATGGAACAATATTCTGAATATTTTGTTATAACTATAAATAGCAATGTTCATGTATCTTCATTAGTATTCTAGCTTCTTTCGTCCTCCTCCACTATGTCGATCTGGGGCATACTTTAAGCGAATCATTACCGTCTCCAACCTGAGATCTCATCACACTTTCTGAAATTAAAAAAAAAATAAAATAATCAGTTACAAGTGCAAGAAATAAATCACTTATACATATTATAATTAAACGAAATTCTAACAAAACTCTCCAGCTACTTAAAAAGATACTTATTATTTTTAATTTAGTTTAAACCATGTAGTTTCGTGTACCTACTGTATATATCTATTAATTTTGATAAAAATGGCTTCGTGAATTTCATTATAAAATCAAGGGTAATAAGATCACTGTATTTTCTACAATATTTTGAAATATACCTGTCACAAAATCTTGGTAGGTTTTCATTTTTCTTTTCCTCTAAATATTTTCATCTTCCTCATGAACTTTTGACACGTGTTGAATTATCATAATTTTCACAATCTGAAAGACGAAATATAATCGTTTTAGAATTTAATCATGTGGTGGAAGGATGTTTGTCTAATACAATAGGCAAAATCCAATTACTATTAATCTTAGTTAACTCATAAGCGCATGAAAAACTGATATAACAAATACCAAAATGAAATTAATTCTACTCTCGCAAAAATTGATATTGTTATTTTTTTATATTCAATGTACTTTGTACAAATGCTCATACAACATCAAAGAAATTCACATGTTACTGTCATTTTTATAGATATTATCTCTGCCCAGCATGATCTGGTCTGCTAAGTGTATATAGGACAGACTGGCTTAGTGTAAAAACGTTTTATGATACGAGCATACAACTTGTTGATAAGCAGGCTAATTAACAAACTATTACTTTTATTGATTTATAACTATGATAATGTGTTTTCTGATTGATAATATGTTGTTTGATTACATTAATAAAAAGATAGCTAGTCAAATACAATGTGCTTTTAGATATATCTTATATCTTAGTCGTATTACATATGTATCAAATGCCATGAATCATTATCATAATATAAGAAACACATGGTATGCTAACAGTATGGGTAAAGTATTTCAATTAACAACGAGTAGTTTAACAACTACACAGATATCAAAATCAAACTGCATCTGATACATGTGTAAATGACTGGCCCCTCATATAAGGGAAATTCATGTTGATAAGAAATAAGAGGAAATTTTATTTACCAGCATTTGAATAATAAGAGTCTTACGTACTGCATTTAACTTTTTATTGATTTCAATTGCTAGGATATTTCCTACCATTGATTGTGAATTTATTTGGCATGGCGATATAGTGTGGGAAAAATGATCCGATTATACAGACTGTTCTATAGCAAATGATAAAGTGTTCTTACGTGGAAACAAAAATATTTATCTCGCGAAAACACGTTACATTAAGTTTTACCAGTCAAACATTTCAATGATCAAATAACCATCGAATCCATGCAAACATGCGGTAAATTAGCATTGAAAATAATATATAATGTTTGCCTACCTTTTTCTTTTGTTTGGATTATACAACTTTGTCTGTCAACCCGTCGTTTTTTTGTCCGCCAATACAATTGAATTTCAAATACGATAAGTCGCAAATTCGAATTTACTAAATTATTTACCACTATAAAATGAAGCCCTCAAAAATGATAACAACTTCATTGTAAATTATATAAACACTTCTTAGACTAATTCGAGGAGATAAGATATTATTTAAACGAAAATAGAGCAAATATATTTCATACTGATCTGCGACTATCCGTTTACCGAGCGCCACCTATCGAATATCGTACGTTAGCCACCCACGTGATACTGTTGTTTTGATGGAGAAAATAAATATATAATGTTCCCTTTCTAAACTTAAACTTAAAATTCTCGCTGTTTATGCTTTCATTTATATATATTGCATGGTTTCATAAATTAAATTCACCTATTGTCAGATTACCGACCAAAACCCGACGTCGAGTCGACGTCAAAATGAAACGTCTGTTAGACGTCGGGGATTCAACGTCGATTTGACGTTGTATGAAGGTCACCGACGTCGCGACCAAAATTCAACGTTGATCCAACGTTGGGTCAACGTCGGGTGTTTGCTGGGAGAGTCCAAAAGTATTTCTGAGAAGATCTGATTGCATTGTTGTTGTTACAGAATGTCACAACTGATCAAGTCATGATTAAGGCATAATTGCGAGTTGCGGGTGTTGAAAGATATTAAAATGAAAAATATCTAAATTTATTATCCAAACAAAACATATGCTTTATTTACCAAGAATAATTATAAAAAAACGATTGAAACAAACCCCTTTAAAAAACCATCAAATTCAAATCTGAAAGTACACATTTAAGCGAGACATGCATGATCTTATACGCAGACATCAGATTAATTGGTCATAACCCTTTCCTCTGACGTCCAGTCTACTTTTCTTTAACAAAAACAAATTCAGTGCTTTTTATTCAATTGATTGTTGCTAACATAAATTTCTCAAAAAAAATATTGTCAAAGTTAATTGCTTCAAAGTTCAAACTTTTAAAACTTAATCATTTTTTAAAAATTGGAATGCATTTCTAAAGAAAATGCCCTTTAAATTTTATTTCTCAATTATGCCACTTTTTGACTTTGAAAACTTGGTTATGAATTTGTTTTATTAATGCACATTTCTCAAAAAAGCATCAAAGATTTTCACCTCAAACCTTTAGAGATAATCTTTAACACCAATTTGTTTATTGAAGCAAAATGGGGTCTGCACATCATGATATAATGGTGATCACTTATGCCAAGTTATTTTAAAGATTTTGCACTAGTTTAAAAGTTATAGGCAGCAGTATGACAGACAGAGACCATTCCTATAATCCCCTCTTTCCAATATCCTTTACTAATTGTATTTAACTTCTGTACAAGTTAGTATAAATTTATGCACAAAATTAATATAATTTATATTTAGACCCAATGACATGATGGATAAAATTATGATGGATAAAATCATCATACTGCATGAAGTTAATGTGATTCAAACATTAAATAGGTCTCTTTTTATTACAAATTTGTTATTAACTGATGTACCGGGTATCATGTATGGATGAAATAACCGTCAGGATCAAAGTTTTAAAATGAATTATTTAAAGATGACCTTGACATTTGACATACCATCACTAATAAAGGGCTTAATCACTCTATCAGTTTTTTTGCAATTGATAATAAGAAAAAAATAGGTTTGGCTCTTGTTTGTTGTGTTTTTTAAGCAATAAGGGGTATTCAGCAAATTCAATCTAGATAAAAAAATTAGGTCACGACCATTTCAAATCAAATAAAAACAGAGACCATTCCTATAATCCCCTTAATATCCTTTTTCTGTACAATCAAATAAAAACCTTTATTAGATTTTGTAAGAATGAATACATATAATAATAATAGTAAGTAGAGGAGGGTGAGCGAAAAAGGGCCATCATGGCCTTCTTGTACAAACATTGTGTCTTTAAATAATAATTATTTTAATGTAATGAGTTGTTGTTTTGACTGAATACATTCTTACTTTTTTGCTTATGTATGTAACATTCCTACTATTTTGCTTTGAAAAAACAGGAAATAATTTTTAAAAAGTAACCTGCAAGTAGTTGAATAGTAATTTTAAACTAACGATATATGAAAATCTGGTAAATACATACTGTGCATCAATTGAATTGTTTTATTATCCGTCACATGATGAAGTTCTGTCATGGACAGCTAAGTATAGCAAATTTTCATAATTCAGATAACCTTTTCAATGATATGTAAGTCCAGGATACTTCGACCTTTAAAAGTGGCTACAGTCTGACATGTCCGACAGTTGACCATTCTTTATCTTATTTTAGTTTACTTGATAATGTTTTGTTTATTTGCACAATAAAGTACATGCATAATTGTAAAGGTTGATTTGCAAGTTAACAACAAAGTTTACCTTATACAGGTTATACATGTTTATTAACTGCAGTATTGATATATATATTTATGGAATGCTTGTTTGTTTGTTTAATTGCATTTTAACATACATATATGGACATATACATAAGGACATATGTATGTGGTCAAATGGCAACATTCCAAATTCTATATCAGGTCTTGCTCCTGTCTGGTATTCAAGCAAGACACAGACTTATAATTTCTGTTAAATGTCTAAAACAACATGTGGGATTTATGTGCATACTTTAAAATAACAATCTCTGAATAAATACATGTATATTTCTATTCCCAGTTTACCATACTTGTATAAAATAATTAAAACCTATTACAAAAACAGTTTTACAAACGAAAGTGTTTATTTTTCATTTCTATGAAGTGGCCTGTAAAGAAAAGTGTCACTTTTCAACCCCTCATAGAGTACATGGTCTGTAAAGGAAAGTGTCACTTTACATTTCTGTAGAGGAAAGTATCACTTGTCCATCTCCATTAAGTAGTCTGTAAAGGAAAGTGTTCATTTTTCCATTTCCATAAAGTGGTCTGTCAAGAAAAGTGTCACTTTTCCACCCCCCATAGAGTGGTCCGTATTTAAAAGAAAAGTGTCATTTTTCTACCCCCATAGAGTGGTCTGTATTTAAAAGAAAAGTGTCATTTTTCCATTTCCATAAAGTTGTCTGTAAAGAAAAGTGTCACTTTTCTACCCCCATAGAGTGGTCTGTATTTAGAATGGAAGTGTCACTGTTCCATCACTATAGAGTGGTCTTTACAGAAAGTGTATTTTTTCTTTTTCTATGTCTATTGAGTGGTCTTTATAGATATAAGTATCAATTTTTCCTTTTTCCATGGAGTAGTCTTTTTAGAAAAATATCAAATTTAGTGAAAATTTCCAAATCTGTACTGACTGAAAAGAAGAACAAAGCAGACCATGGCCATATGGCACAGATGTATTGACTTGTCTTGGTCTGCACTGGTTGCATCGATCATGATAGAAACAGTCACCGCTAGCGACTAATGGTTTAGCAGCCTAACTAGATACAATGTATTTATATGGCTGAAGCTTGTTGCCTATAAAACACAAGTTCAGTTTGACTGAAGTGATACTTACTGTACTGATGTCCTTACAATATGATAAACCATGATTTTACATTTAAGTGGCCTAACATCCTAAAATTTGCCCTGATAAAAGTTCAAATTTTAGCAAGCTAGTAACCTTTTGATAAGGGTTAAAATCTGCTTCATTGCAAGTACAGTTATAAATGGGTTTTTTTTCTGTCTTTATTTTTCAGTATGATAACCAGTAATGATGACATGGATCAACTTGTAAAACCTGTTGCTGAAAAAAGTATAGAGGAGTTGAGATCCATCTTCAAGCCATTTGATATATTACACAACCCTGAGGTATTCAAATTGCAGTACCCAGAAGGAATTTTTCGCAAAGCAAGTGTTTTAATGCCGTTATGTTTTAAAAATGGAGAATATCATATAATTCTTACATTACGATCTAAAGACCTCACACATCATGCAGGATATGTTGCTTTCCCAGGTGGTATGCAAGATGACACTGATAAAGATGAAATAGCTACTGCACTAAGAGAAGCAGAAGAAGAAATTGGACTTGATCCCAAATGTGTTGAAATTATTGGATTGTTTTCTCCCGGCCTTGTGAGACCTAACTCTATAGTATATCCAGTTCTAGGCATTGTTCCAAGTGATTTTACACCTGTGATTAATGAAAATGAAGTCTCGCTAGTGTTTGAGTTACCATTACGTAGATTTTTGTCGTCGGAGAGGAGAAGGATTTCTGATTTTCTGTCATCTACCAATGCTACATATCATGTTTACCATTTTATAGACCATGTGAAAGGGGAAGAAGTTGATACATGGGGATTTACTGCCTCATTTTGTTGCATGACAGCACTGGGAGTTTACCAGAGTGAACACACTTTCTCTTTCTATGAACACTTTAATATTAACAAGAACAATATTTTTGTACCTACTGCCACAGACCTTATTGTGAAAGAAGTATTAAAACAAACATCCAAATACTGATCAGGTTAGTGTTAAATAAAATCCATTATTTTGTTTTATAAACCTCACATTTGACTTATCTTTGTTTTGATCTTGACTATTTTGTATAATTATAATTATACAAATACATGTGTATAACCTCCTTTAAAGAACCGGTAACTTTTTTATGGTTTTAAATCATAAATATGATGCTCAAATTAAGATTAATCAATATTGTAAGCTCCAAAAAGCATAAAAATTAACATTTCATGTAAATTAAGGGAGGTAATTAGAAATTTATTTTCTATAAAATCTAAGTCAAATTTTTCAATAAGAAATGAATGCGTATATTTTAATGATTACATAGAGGATATTTGTTTGTTTCAGTGTAAGATCGAAAAATATTTCACCGAGTGAACACCAGATGCAATATTTTCCACGAGTGGCGTAGCCACGAGTGAAAATATTGCATCTGGGGTTCACGAGTGAAATATTATTTGATCTTACATGTAAAACAAACAAATTTTCTGTTTATTTCATGATTTTTTAACGATTTTTACACCATTTTACTGATTTTTGCCGCGTAACGTCATGCTCTTATCTTCATGACGTCATCAAATAATGACGTCACAATGTTGAAGCAAAATATAATTCCATGATTATTTTTAGATTTTAGATGTTTTTCAGCACAACGTTCGTAAATATTTACGAACTACAGTTATCACGTACATTTTTTATTATGATTGACTACATTTCCGCTGAAAAAAAAACATTCATTAATGATAAATATTTTATTTTTACGCCAAATATAGTTCGGCTACTGTGAAATTATATTTGGTAATCATTACTGTGAAATTATCAGAATATAATTAACCGTTATAATTCAGTAATCTACTGCAAAACATGTAATAAATAATTATAATGTGCACAAATATTTGAAGTACATATTTTACATATTCTTTGATGTTGGAAAATTGCTTTATATGCATAATTTGTCATACATGTATATAAAATTTCACTTAAGTGTGGTAACAACCTCAATTACAACATATAGGATCTTTAACATCTGTATAAATTGTACATGTAACTTTATTTGTCTTTTTAAAAATAAGAATTGTTTTCCTATTCTGCTGTAAAGATTATATTTAAGTCAAATATTAGTACAGTATGCATTAATGGAAGTAGAAAAAATATTCTAACATGGTTATGGTTTTACTCAGATGAATGTCTAAAAAAAAATTGATTTAATGATATACATGTATAAATGTCCAGCGTTTTATCGTTACATTGTTCTGTTTCAGACTTTTTGACCCAGATATACTGGGTTGGTTACATTGCTAAAATAGGGATGTCTAACAAGGGCATTACTTCAGATGTTGCCATGACAACACCAGATAGAAGTACCTTAAAAACATTATTCAAACCATTTGACACCCGGTTCAACAAGGAAAATTTTGACCTTCATATTCCAGATAACATGTGTTTTATTTTTAGACGTGCCAGTGTTTTAATACCCTTGTTTTATAAAGATGGTGAAATCCATGTACTTTTGACAGTGAGGACAAAACACTAAACAAGTCATTCGGGAGAAGTTGCATTTCCAGGAGGAATGTCACATCCTGGAGATTTGGATGTCATAGCAACGGCTCTCCGTGAAACAGAGGAGGAAATTGGTATACATCCTGAAAATGTGGACATTGTTGCTACATTGCCACCTTACGTTATTGATCCAAATTTCCTAGTAACACCAGTTGTTGGCATCATTTCTAGTGATATAAAACTTAATGTCAATCCACAAGAAGTGGATACAGTATTTGACTTGCCGCTTAAAAGGTTTCTAAGTGAAGACGGAAGAACTCAAAAAATATTTTCATCTAATGGGATGGATTTTAATCTATATCATTTTTATGAAGCTGTGAATGGTCAGACGGTAGACATATGGGGGTTTGCTTCATTGATTTCTATACAATCAGCCATTGTGACTTATCAGTCAAACTTAGAAATATGTTTTTACAAAGATATTATTGTAACAAAGACAAACTGTTTTACAGTAGTGTCTACACAAGAAATTGTTAATAAGCTTATTAGTCAAGCTAAGCTGTGATAAAATTTCTGTTAATTTGTGTTGTTTATTCAAGGAAAAAATAATTAAATTATAAATTGTTTTATTTTGCCCTTATGTTTGATTGTGGAATTATTCAGTATTTGTAGAGTTATTGCCCTTGACTCAGAAGAATTGGATTGTGTTTTTTATTCCCCAACCACTTACGGGTAGGTGGAGTCATGTAGAATTTCCTTTGTCTGTCCCTCTGTTACTATGACTGCCGGGAGTGTCCTGCTATATGTCAGTAGGAATGTGGGTTCATCCGTGTCCTATGGACACATTTCTAGTTCTCTAATAATTTACTATTGTATCTAGTGAAAATGTAAAGTTAATTAAAGAGTTTTATGCAATAACTGATTGAAAACAAACTAATAATGTGCTTATTATTATGATTATTAATGGTGGTTCTCATTTCTGTATTCTTCTAACATGACAAGTTTCTGGCTGGTGATTATTATAATTCCATGTTGTTTGTTTGGTCATCACAATTTAAGTCAAAACAGAAAAGATGATTTTGGCCAACCTTGGATGTTACAAATTTCAAAGCAACAACAGGGGTCAAAACTATGTATAGACTTCAGTTATTATATCACACAGGGATAAACAGTGGCTGCATTTCTTAAGCCTCAAACATTAAAAGCAACCCCTCAGCCACAAGGGACACTACAAGGATTGTCAGTTTTGTACTTATTTGTATAATTTATAGTCATTTCATTCAAAATCACGGAGATACACTTCATTGAGAGGAAATTAGCTACAACATTTTCTTTCTGTTAGTTTTTTTATTGCAAATTCATATTTATAGTGACTCTAAGAGACTGACTGGCCTACTATTGGTTATGGCTATTTTGAATGAGTAACAAATGTAAAAAATCAATTTTAAAAAAAGGATGATCAGACCTAAACTCTTTCAGAAATATTAATCTCTGATAATTTTCTTATATCTCAAAACAAGGTCAAAGAATTAACAATTTTGTTGCACATAACTCTCAGAAAGAATTATACATTTCTTCTATTTTTTTTGTAATATAAATCTCTATGATCTTAAGTTTACAGAAGATAATTTTGGTGTTGATGCAGACAGTCAACTGCTCTGTAATAAAGGGTGCACAAATGTGAACAAATACGGTAATAATTGTTCAGTTACATTGAGTTATTTATGATTCTGTGCAAACAAGATCTCTTTGGTTTGAAGAAATCTGTTGTAACTACTTGTAAGATGTCAAATGGTTCTATAAATAAGACATTACCTAACTTACTTTACATTGAGATGTTTATCAGACATGACAATACAAAGTAGAAGGTAATTATTTAATATCATAATGGGAAAACGTGACGATCACATGTGCATGTTCATGTCTTAAATGATTAGGACTAGCATTAAATATGCTCCCACATAGTGCAAACACTCTTTATATCTTAGTGGATACACAATATACATCCCAGTGCATACACCGTATATATCTCAGTGCATACACCGTATATATCCCAGTGCATACACCGTATATATCTCAGTGCATACACCGTATATATCTCAGTGCATACACCGTATATATCCATGTGCATACACCGTATATATCTCAGTGCATACACCGTATATATCTCAGTGCATACACCATATATATCCCAGTGCATACACCGTATATATCCCAGTGCATACACCATATATATCTCAGTGCATACACCATATATATCTCAGTGCATACACCATATATATCCCAGTGCATACACCATATATATCTCAGTGCATACACCGTATAATATCCCAGTGCATACACCATAAATATCCCAGTGCATACACCGTATGTATACCAGTGCATACACCATATATATCTCAGTGCATACACCGTATATAACCCAGTGCATACACCGTATATATCCCAGTGCATACACCGTATATATACCAGTGCATACACCGTATATATCTCACTGCATACACTGTATATATCCCAGTGCATTATAAACACCGTATAAATTATATCTCACTGCATACACCGTATATATCTCACTGCATTATAAACACCGTATATATCTCAGTGCACACACCATAAATATCTAAGTGCACACACCATAAATATCTAAGTGCACACACCATAAATATCTAAGTGCACACACCATAAATATCTAAGTGCACACACCATAATATCTCAGTGCACACACACTATATAGCTCAGTGCATACACTGTAAATATCTCAGTGAATACACCATAAATATCCCAGTGCATACACCTTATATATCCCATTTAATATACTGTGTATATCTCACTGCATACACCATATATATTTCAGTGCATGCACCATAAATATCTCAGTGCACACACCATAAATATCTCAGTGCACACACCATATTTATCTCAGTGCACACACCATAAATATCTCAGTGCACACACCATATATAGCTCAGTGCATACAATGTAAATATCCCAGTGCATACACCATATTTATCCCAGTGCACACACCATAAATATCTCAGTGAACACACCATAAATATCTAAGTGCACACACCATAAATATCAAAGTGCATACACTGTATATATCCCAATTAATACACTGTATATATCCCACTGCATACATCATATATATCTCACTGCATACATCATATATATCTCACTGCATACACCATATATATCTCACTGCATACACCATATATATACAATTCAATGTAATGGAGAGTAAGCATTAAAACCTTACTAATTGTGAAAAAATGGCAGGTAGATTTTTTTTCTGGTAATACATTATTTATTTTGCTATTGCTGGAAATAAGTAAATAATTCAGAACGTTTAACACATACAAATAATGTATCGTTTCAACACAGTAAAATGTATTACATACTTGAAGCATTTCACACAAACAATTTCACTAGAGATAATATCGATTTATCCCGGAAATGTGTTGACAATAATAAATTATTCTATTTTATCAACAAAACCAGTCTGCTGTACAATTAGTTTAGTCCTGATATTTTCTTAAAGAAAACAAAAAATAAATATGGGGTATATTAAATAGTGCAGATCATAAATTTTATTTGACTGCATGGTATGGCATGAGCAGAGGGATAAGAAGCTCTTAAAATAGAAAATTTTCAAATACTGACACACAATCCCTGGATTAATTCGCCCTTGGTGTTTATTTCGGCCATCTTGTTTAACGTAACCAAATGTGTTTACATTTTCATTCATTACTGAGATTGATTGACATCTTTTAGTGCCATTTTAGCTCGACTATTCGATAAGAATAAGTAGAGCTATTGCAGTCACCCGAGCGTCGGCGTCGGTGTCGGCGTCGGCGTAACCACTTATGTTAAAGTTTTTGTAATAGTTTAAATATTTTCAAAGTCCATCGACATATGGCTTTGAAACTTTGCACACTTGTTCACCTTCATTACCCCAACCTGTAGACAGGAGGAGGTAACTCTATCAAGCATTTGGACAGAATTATGCCCCTTTTTCGACTTAGAATTTACGTTAAAGTTTTTGTAATACCTCAAATATTTTCAAAGTCCATTGACATATGGCTTTGAAACTTTGCACACTTGTTCACCATCATGACCCCAACCTGTAGACAGGAGGAGGTAACTCTATCAAGCATTTTGACAGAATTATGCCCCTTTTTCGACTTAGAATTTACGTTAAAGTTTTTGTAATACCTCAAATATTTTCAAAGTCCATTGACATATGGCTTTGAAACTTTGCACACTTGTTCACCATCATGACCCCAACATGTAGACAGGAGGAGGTAACTCTATCAAGCATTTTGACAGAATTATGCCCCTTTTTCGACTTAGAATTTACGTTAAAGTTTTTGTAATACCTCAAATATTTTCAAAATTCATTGACATATGGCTTTGAAACATGTTGAAATTTTATACTCTTCTTTGAGAGCATAATAGGACTCTCTCCAAGGCCTATAACTGTAATATGGATTTAAAGAAAAATTTTGCCTTTTTCTTTACTTAGAAAATTTTACCTTTTAATCAAGGCTTTTTTTACTATCAAGCACTAAGAATAGTCGAGCGTTGCTGTCCTACCGACAGCTCTTGTTTAATATTTTTGCAACATGGCGGCGTACATAATGGTAGATTTTCATGCGTCAAACATGGTCTTGCAAAAAAGTGATCTTGCGTGATAATAAATCCCAATGTGTAATTGACATCATAGCTTCCTCTCCATTTAAATTTAATAATACACTTGTTACTATAAACAGTAACAAAATTGAGTATGATTTCAACTGATTATGAATGTCATGTGACGGATTATCAGTTTGCGGCCTGAGGCCGATAAGTGATAATCATAATCGGCATGCTGAACACGAGTATTTGCATAAACTGAATAAATGACATCACATTTTACGTCATCAAAACAGCTAGCTGTAAAAGTGAAAGTAGGATTGAAGCAAGAATAGCTTGATTTTATAATTTAAACGTAAGCGTAATGTCTACATACACAGCTGTATTGAAATGTAAAAAAAAAATTGCTTAAGCTACATTTTATTACTTGAAAATAATTGTGCTTCTAGATTCTGTTGCATTCATGTAAGGGAAGCAACTGTGTAGAAGTTGCTGTACCGGTAGTACAGTTGAAATCTACTAAGATGGCAATTTCAACGAAAGAAATATCAAAATAAATTTTGGATCTTATAATCATGTGTATTAAAGACTTTAATACACGTCATAGGTGGGCCAAAAGTTGATAATCAACCCTGAAATGAATAATGCCCTCGGGCTGAAGCCCTCAGGGCCATTATTCATTTGACAGGTGGATTATGACACCTTATGGCCCTTCTCTGCTGTGTATTAATCTCTTATTCTGTGCATGAGGGACAACTACATATAAAACATGATAATCATTTTCATAACATTATATTCATATATGTGTTGTATCATAACTAATTAGTCCCCTACCGGTTTACCGGAGGGGACTTTAGGTTTACCCTCCGTCCGTCTGTCTGTCCGTCCGTCTGTCAGTCCGTCAGTCCGTCCACAAAACTGGATCCCGCGATAACTTGAAAAGAACTGAAAATATTTTTATGAAACTTGATATATGGATAGATGGCAGTATGGA